TATCAATAAGCATATGGAGAGGTTACTACCTATCAATATGTCAGTTCATTTTTGTATCATAAATTTCGATATCTTTCAATAAAAATTTATGTAACGTACTACGATGTGATATTATTTTATCAATTGGAAGAATAATTTTTTACTTTACATCGAAGCTGGAAGAACACTTTGCCCGTTGTTTCAAATCGATCTTGTAATCATGTAAACAGAAAGTGATCCTTCAGATATGCTTGTGGAAAAGAGGAGTAAAAAAGATTTGCTCCATGACATACCTTCCTTATGACCATGGTGGGAAGAACATCTTGCTTTTTTCACTTTTCTATATAAATATTTTTAATTTATATTTGATTTGTGCATATATATAAGTTTTGTTATGTATGGTGACGCACTATTAGATTTGATATCAAATGTTGAGAATGATGGAGCCATGATTTTAACCTAAGAGGGGCCTAAAAGTCTCAATCCGAAATGCTCTTCTGATTTTACAAAATTATTTTGTCATGTGGTGAGCAACGTACTACCGTCGTTTAACTTTGGTGTAGTGTTGTCCTCATCATCATCTTCCTTAAACCTAAACCCCAAGCCTCTCATTTTTTTTTCCTCTGTCCCTCCACTCGTCCCTATACCAGAGTCTTCCTCAAAGCTCAAAAACAACAGACTACCTGAACTACGTTGGAGCCACCAACCTCAAATCAAACCCGATGAAATAAATTAAAGTAAAAATGTTGGATTAGGATCCTGAGCTTACAGAAAACTTTTCTGGATAAAAATATATCGAGATGGGCATGAGACCATCATAATCCCTTCATGGCTTTGCCTCTAAACGTTGAGATTAAAACACTAACAACACGTCATTTTATTGATAACCGTAGATATTAAATCTAATGATGAGTTGCAACTTAATACTACGGTCTGTGATATTCCTCTTCACTTGTAAGTGAGAGGCTTTATGTTCGATTCTCACCAAAGACGAAGTTGAATTACATTATTATGGCACGCCCATTGTAATGTTTAGCCTACTCTCACGTCCACTTATTATAGTTATTATCGTTTGTGCAAAAAACGAAAACAAAAATTCTAATGATGAGTTACCGTACATTTCATCTTTCTTGATCACCAAACAAGAGATAATGGTCAAACTAGCATCCACTGTAACTGTTCATTTCATTGTTTCTGTCAGAAGAATCGATGAAAGGTGAAGATGATTTTTCACATTAGACCAATGTATTAAAAGCGTGAGATGTGGACGTGGTGTCTGAGGGATAGTCCGACTTAGGTATGAGGCGTGAGGCGAAGCTTCACGGGATCTAAATTTTTTAATATATACACTGAGCGTACACATATATTATATTAAAATAAAATAAAATTATTAATCAATAATCATCCTAAGCACACACATATATTATAAATATATATACACATATATATACATATATTATATTATATTATATATATATATATATATATATATATATATATATAATAGAGGATGAAAAGCACAATGAGCATTTACACTCTTTATCTCCTAAACTCTAACCCCAGAAACATAGCTCTTCCTCTGCTCCCTCGCTGCTCCACAAAGCCAGACACCGCCGACAACGAAAAACCACTATATTCGACCGACTATATACATACATAGAAAGGCCCAGCTTTTAGGTTGTCTTCAATCCAAGCCCGAATATATAGAAAGATTCGTGCCCAAAGTAGTGAACTACTAGATGGTTTGATGAGGATTTAGAGAAAGGAACGCAATGATCCACCTTCGGAAATAGTCTTCAATGCATTGCAAAACAATTGGCAAATGTGGAAATTTTCAGGTCGACGGGCCGATGGCCCACTCCAACAACACCGATACTGTCTCCACTTAACCACCTGCACAATCCTCAGGTGTGGGGTTTTATTACAAAAGACCTCGGTGTTAATTAGAGAGGGGTATTTCTATTTAAAGCACTCGTCTTTTCTCCCTCTGTCCGATGTGGGACTGGGGGTTCCAACACTCCCCCGCACGTGAGACCCCACTTATGGGTCACACGTGAATTTCCACACATCGGCAACCACGTGGAGCCATGTCGGGACTCACCCAATCATGCGGGGCCAATGGGGACCCACCCAAACACGTGGCATCTTTGGCCTACGTGGACAATCACGCGGGGCCAATGGGGACCCACCCAATCACGTGGCAGTACGGGCCCGTGATTTGAATTGTAATGTATTTCATATCTTAGAAAGCCTTATGGAAGGCATACTTATACACAATACAAAGAAAGCTGAAAGCTTTACACCCTACACACTTGTAATCTGACAGCACACATGCACTTGCAGGTTCCTTGTTGTGCTGTTTGTGCACTTTCCTTGCTGTGCTTGCTGTGCTGTCTGTGCACGTTCCTTGCTGAGCTTGCTGTGCTATTCTTGCTGTGCTGTCTGTGCACGTTCCTTGCTGTGCTGTATGTGCACGTTCCTTGCCGTTTTCTTCCAATACTCCCCCTCAAGCTGGATCCAGTAGGTTGATGGATCCAAGCTTGGAGATGAGTCTTTGAAACTGATGAGAAGCCAGAGGTTTGGTGAATATATCAGCCAGCTGATCGAGGCTTTTTACATAATGTGTCTGAATCACCTGCGTCTGTACTTGTTCACGGACATAATGACAGTCGACTTCAATATGCTTCGTCCTCTCGTGAAAGACGGGGTTTGATGCTATGTGCATGGCAGCCTGGTTGTCACAGAATAAGGTCATTGGTTGAGCTGTGAACACACCTAAGTCACATAAAAGTCCTTTTAGCCATATCAGCTCACACGCGGTTGAGGCCATTGCACGATATTCAGCTTCAGCACTTGATCTTGCGATGACAGTTTGTTTCTTGCTCTTCCACGTGACCAGGTTTCCACCAACAAAGGTACAATAACCAGTGGTGGACTTGCGATCGATTGCGTTTCCTGCCCAATCAACATCACAGTACCCCATGATTTGAGTGTTGTCATTCTTTGCCATGAGGATGCCACGACCAACAGACCCTTTTAAGTAACGTAAGATTCTTTTGACAAGGTTCAGATGCTCGATGGTGGGAGAGTGCATGAACTGACTGGCAATACTTACTAAATGTGAGATGTCTGGTCTGGTGATCGTTAGGTAGATCAGCTTGCCGACAAGCCTCTGATATAAGCTGATATCCGAGAGTGGCGTGCCTCCCAAGTCAAGCTTGAGCTTGCTATCAAGAGGGGTAAGTGCAGGCTTGGCATCACTCATATTGGCATCTTTAAGTAGGTCCATGACGTACTTTCGTTGATTAAGAAATAGTCCCTTGTAAGAAGATGCCATTTCAATTCCAAGAAAATACTTCAACACCCCAAGATCTTTAACCGCAAATTGTTGTTGAAGTGACTATTTGAGTGTGGTGATTTCAGCAGCATTATCACCTGTAATTATTAAGTCATCCACATATATCAACACAACTAATTTGCTTGCAGCTCTTGTGCGAACAAATAATGATGAATCTGCATTACTCATTTTGAAACCAATGCTATGAAGAACGGTACTTAGTTTTGCATACCAAGCACGTGGTGATTGCTTCAGTCCATAAATTGACTTATGTAACTTACACACCAAATTAGGCTCTTGGCTTTGAGGGTGTCCTGGTGGCAATCTCATATAGACTTCTTCTTCAAGATCACCATGTAGAAAGGCGTTCTTCACGTCCATTTGATACATAGACCAACCTTTATTGACGGCAACAGACAATAGAACCCTTACTGAGTTCATTTTTGCAACAGGAGCAAATGTTTCCTTGTAATCCACCTCAAATGTTTGAGTGAATCCTCGAGCCACCAGCCTGGCTTTATGCCTCTCAATCGAACCATCAGAATTAAACTTGATCTTATAGATCCACTTACAGCCTACTGCCTTTTTTCCTTGTGGAAGTTTGGTGATGCTCCAGGTTTTGTGTTGGTCTAGTGCTTTGAGTTCTTCTCTCATTGCTTCTTTCCACACAACTTGATTATTAGCCTCATAAAAGTTTTGAGGCTCACTGTGACTTGAAATGTTGTTAAGAAAGGCAGCATGAGATGGAGTTACCTTTTGATACGACACGCAATTTGAAATTGGATGCCTCGGTTTATATGTGACAAAATCTTGAAACCTTGTGGGAGGTTGTCTATCACGCCGAGGATTGCGTCGAGGTACTAGGAGGTTTGTCTCATCCTCATTCAAATTGTCATCCACTCCTTGAGGATTTTCTATGTTGCCGTTGTCATCATCATGCACCGAGTCATCATCATGCACAGAATTATCAGGATGAGTACCTTCATTATTGACTTCAATGGGAGGTGTAGAAGTACAGATTCTTGGTAGAGGAATTAGGTCTAAGATGCACTCCCCCTGACTTGTGGCTTCATGTGATTTGCTGAAAAAAGGGTTAGCTTCATGGAATCGTACATCTTTAGATACAATTATTTTTCTTAGTTGAGGATCATAGCACTTATATCCTTTTTGTGTTGATGAATAACCAAGAAAAATACATTTGAGAGCTCTAGGGTCCAACTTATCTCGATGGTGTGACTGTATATGAACAAAACAGACACAGCCAAAGACTCTAAGATGTGAAAGGTCGATTTTTCTTCCTTTCATGACTTCAAGTGGAGATTTAAACCCCAAGACTCGGCTAGGAAGTCTATTGATGATGTACACAGCCGCCATGACTCCTTGTGACCAAAATCTCTTTGGTACGTTCATTTGTAACATTAATGCTCTCGTTTTTTCCAAAATGTCACGATTTTTCCTTTCAGCTACACCATTTTGTTGAGATGTGCCGACACAACTTGTTTGATGCATGATACCATGCTTGCTCAAATATAATGACATGATATGGGACATATATTCGGTGCCATTGTCAGATCTTAAGGTTTGAATTTGAGAGGAAAAATGGTTCTTAACAAGATTGTGAAAATCCTTAAAAACTTCAATCACTTCACTCTTAGACTTTAAAAGGTACAACCATGTGGCTCTAGAGAAATCATCAACAAAAGTTACATAATACTTATAACCATCAAAAGATTCAAACGTTGGTCCCCATACATCTGAGTGAACTAGTTCGAAAACTTTACTAGTCCTAGATAAGGATGAGGTAAAAGACAATCTGGTGGCTTTAGACAAATGACATGTTTCACACGAAATTAAATCATTACCTAAGTTTGGAAACAAGGAAGACAAAACAGGTTGGGAAGGATGAGCTAAACGTTGATGCCATAATTGACTATCTTGGGATGGACTGGACTTGGCTTGAAATCCTCTGGGACTGTTTTTTGATATGTAATAGAGGCCATCAAGGTAAAACCCTTCACCAATCGTCTTCTTGGTGAGGCAATCCTGAAAAATGACATTGTGAGGAGAGAAAATGGCCAAACAATTTAAGGTATTGGTGATTTTTCCCACAAATAGAAGTTGAAATGGAAAAGAAGGAACAAATAAGGCTACTGACTCAATTTTGTCCGATATTAAGTTGATATTTCTCTTCCCTAAAACCTTAGAACTCTCACCATTGGCAGTTGAGACTTGAGACGGTTTTGAAAATTTTTCAAACTTGTGAAACTTAGAAACATGGTTTGTCATATGATCTGTGGCACCCGAATCAACAATCCACAAATCATGCATCATATTTACATTAAGAGCAGTTTTAAAAGCAGTCATGATACCTTGCATGTCATCTTGGGCCATGTGTTGTGTTTCTGTCAGAAATCCAGCAAACTTGCCTAGCAACGCTATTGAACTTCCATCTTCAAAGCCGACCGTTTGGTCACTCTTAATCCTTTCTTTCTTGCTTTGAAGATACACTGCAAACTCATTTATGAGTGCAGCTGGATTTGCAGTGAAGCTCTTGAGTGCATCAAACCTATGAGAGGTTGAGGTAGTTGCATTGTTGGCTCTATGTGGTGCACGGTTCAGTCTTTGTGAGCCCTTGTTATCCTTCATGAACTCTGGCTTTAATTCTGGATGTAAAATCCAGCATGTCTCCTTAACGTGACCAATATAGTTGCAGTGTTGGCACTTTAAGTGTGGATTCTTCACTTTGTATTTTCTTTCGTTGGCTAGATAAGCCCTTGCTTCAGTTACACTGGTCTTTGTGCCAGTGTTCATGACTTTCCTTCGTACTTCTTCACGTTGGATTGTTGCACATACGCTGGTGAAGGAAGGTAGTTCGGGGTTCATGAGTATGTGGCTTCGTAGGTCTTCGTATCCTGGATCGAGACTTGACAAGAGTTGGAATATCTTGTCTTCTTCTGCCCTTTTCAGTAGTAAAGACGCCTCAGTTGTGTGAGGCCGATACATTTCCAGCTCATTCCACATGCTCTTCATGCTGCCTAGAAGTTGAACAAAAGGCTTTCCTTCTTGTTGTATGTTGGAAATGTTCTTCTTCAATTGAAACACACGTGCAGCATTGTTCTGGCTGCCATACATTTCCTTGACTGTCTGCCATAGTTTGAATGATGATTCAGAATAACTGAATATTTCAGCTAGTTTACGTTCCATGGAATTTAGGAGCCATGACATAACTAGCTGATCCTTGCAAAGCCAGATTTCATAAGTTGGTGAAGAAACATCAGGAACTTCGATGCTTCCATTTATGAACCCTAGCTTGGACCTTCCACCTAGGGCAAGACTCACTGCTCTTGACCAAGGTAAGTAATTAAACTCATTTAACAAGACCGAGCTTAATCTTTGATTTGGATTGACATCCACCTCAGACACGGTTGAGGAGGAAGGTATCTGGGAATCTCCAAACGAATAAGAATTCTCTTCCGCCATTTAAAAAACTAGGGGAACAGAAAATATATTTATATCAGCTTAATTCCCACGCGTGCTCGATGAACTGCCCGGATCAAATCTTCTCGAGCTTCTCGGCTATGACCAAAGGGTTACTCCTGGCGATCTCCTTCCTCCCGAGGGTCTTGAAATCGAACGAGCACGCGTGCTTCTCGGGGTACCTGTGAACCCCGCAGAACGTGGTCCCGCACCTGCACTTGAACCCGGTCAACCCGACCCGTTTCCTGCAAACGGTGCCCCGGTTCGGCTGCGATACCACCACGGAGTTAGTTTGGATCTGGCAGTTGCAGAATGCCCATGTACGCCGAGGCTTTGAGCAGCGTCTCGAGTTCTAGCTCCTTTGCGCCGTCGACGGTCACCAAGGTCCCGCCTTTGCTCTGTTCCTGCTCTTGCTGCCGTTTGCTTTCGTTACCCTTTTGCGGATTCTGCTCTGTCTGATGTTCTTCGGAATCGGAGGCTGTCGTGTCGGAGCTGTCTTCGTCTTCGCCTCTCTTTCTCAGGTACGACCATCTGGTGAACCCTTTCGATTCCGACGAGGAAGACGACCAGTCGTTGACTACCGGCGTTGAATTTGTATTAGCTTCTTTCTTGAGCTTTGCTGTGATTCGCTGATGGGTTGAATTACGTTCTGATGGCAATTTTGTCCCATTTTTCTCCGGTTCTTCGCCGATCTTGTTAATTATTTCGGCGCGAATGCGAACGACATGGATAAGATGATGCAGAAGCAGGTTATTTTTCCTGCTCTGATACCATATGGAAATTTTCAGGTCGACGGGCCGAGGGCCCACTCCAACAACACCGATACTGTCCCCACTTAACCACCTGCACAATCCTCAGGTGTGGGGTTTTATCACAAAAGGCCTCGGTGTTAATTAGAGAGGGGTATTTCTATTTAAAGCACTCTTCTTTTCTCCCTCTGTCCGATGTGGGACTGGGGGTTCCAACAGCAAACCACAAAAAACTTTTAGGGTATGTCTGGGTGAGGGACTTTAAAGTTCTCAGAAATTCTCCGCAATCGTGCGCATGGGTTAAGAGGATGCGAAGTTCTTGATGCAAATAATCGCTGAAGTTTTTGCTTCCCATATCTGCTGCCAAACAAATTCGGTTACTGTCTTGCAAAATTCGCCCTCCACTGGGGGGTGATTGTACTTGGTTTAATGAACTCCTATCATTATTTGTGATCTTCTTGAGGAGTACCTCTCCATTCCTTGTACTATTTAGTTTGTCTGGCTTTTAAAATGAAATGAAAGATCGCCTTTTTCTTCAAAAAAAAAAAAAAAAAAAAAAAAAAAAAAAAAATCCCCCCATGTAGATACTATATTATCATTGTACTGTCTTTATTACTGTCAAATTCTTCTCCAAATTTATTGACAGTTACGTAAAATGAAGAAGAAATGGAAGTAGAAAGTTAGAAGGAATTAAAAAAATACACTACATGTATATTACAAAGATATATAAGAGGGATTATAAATGACTCATTCTAAGTAACCACAAACGTTTTACGGTTAAATCATGTGCCGGCTAAACTTCAAAGAAGCGTGATTTTTGTCATCAATGAGTTTGGGACAAGGACTTCTTGACTCGGAATTTGGAATTTCAATCCAGGCCATCGTCTACCTAATTAAGCATTCCTCCATACCAGGCCACCGCCCCAGAATCCCAGATGCTTGTACTGTAGATGACCCCTATTTTCGTTGCCAATATATATGAGAAGGGAGCCTTTGCACTATGATATTGGTGTGTTTGAGATGAAAATAAGAAAGGGTTTTACTGTGTATTTCTCTATGACATTACTATTTTCCTATAATGTTATTTGCGTTCCAAAGAAGTTATAATATACACCTTTTCTTAGTGAAAAATAAAAAACAAAAGTTAACCCTAACATTATATATATGTTACTACTCCTGCACTTTGCACTTAACATTACTAGTGCACATTTCTGTATATAAGGTAAAACCTCTTTATAGTGATACACTATATAGAAAGTACCTCCATCTAGCTAGTCATTTTAGTTCCAACTTGAGCCGGTTCTGTATAAGAATAAATTTCACATAATTTTTCCAAGTTCCGTCTTAAGAAACTTACCTCTACATAAGTACCTCCATCTAGCTAGTCATTTTAGTTCCAACTTGAGCCAGTTCTGTATAAGAATAAATTTCACATAATTTTTTTAAGTTCCGTCTTAAGAAACTTACCTCTACATAGTAATTATCATTAAGTCTATAAATATGAAATGTCACCAAAAAAAAAAAAAAAAAAAATTAAGATGAAATTAAATATTTTTTTAAGTTGTCCAGAACAATATTTTATTTATTAGAATCAATGTTATGTCTTTGAGCTTGCAGATACGTAATAACTCGTAACATGGCACGTTGTTGTTCCAGCCAAAATGTTTCTAACTTCTCAAGCATGTTTACAACTTCTAGAATGAAATTTTTGGCATTTAGGTGAACAACACTACATTATGTAGTTTTTTTATTTTATAAATACATATATACATACACCAGCTATTAGAGACTAGATGTCTCCCTTTTCCAAAGCTATATTTTGAAAAGGAGTAATGTTATTCATACCAAGTTTTTGTATCATATTTTCATACCATTTTAGGTGGCATTTAATGTGTCACATCCCGGCCTAGGGTGGATCACTTCCCGAGCCCGCTCCACCACCGTAGCACGATATTGTCCGCTTTGGGCCCGACCACGCCCTCACGGTTTTGTTTTTGGGAATTCACACAAGAACTTCCCGATGGGTCACCCATCCTGGGAATGCTCTCGCGCGCTACTTGCTTAACTTCGGAGTTCCTACGGAACCCGAAGCCAGTGAGCTTCCAAAAGGCCTCATGCTAGGTAGGGATGAGAATATACATATAAGGATCACTCCCCTGGGCGATGTGGGATGTCACATAATGTGAACAGCCACATCATTTGAATTAATCAGATTTTGAAAAATGAGTAATTCTCAACTACTAATGTAGTTATTTGTATTCAAACAACTTTCAATAAATGATGACTAAGTAAAAATAAATAAAAAATTAGCTGCACCTCTATTAACTAATAACCTCTTTATGGTCATAAGTAGATTTGGTCTCAACATATAACTATACAGAACTTTTATTGGGGTTTTTGAAATTTAATTCTTCGAGAAGATTAAAACTTAATAAAAACTTAGTGTTAGATTGAATATTAATTTTAGTCCCTTAATGTGTACTTAATTCAAATTTATATTATATTTTTATTTTTATATTTAATAGATAACTTATTTAATGTTATTACATTAAATTTTAAATTTATTATTATACACATTTTAATTCATTAATTTTATTTAACTTTCTCTAAATAGTGTACCTAAACGTCCATATCATAATATATTTTACTAAATTAGTGTACCAAAATGCTCGTACCTAAATATATTGTAGTTAATTAGTGACACATAAGCAAATATGTAAAAAAAAAAGTGTACCGAAAATTTCATACCTAACTATATGATACTAAACTAGTGTACCGAAATGTCGGTACCTAAACATATTATACTAACCCAGTGTACCGAAATGTTCGTACCTAAATATATTGTAATGAATTATTGGCAGATAAGAAAATATACAAAAACATAACTGTACCGAAAAATCTCTACAAAAATATTTTATTATATAAGATGCTTACCATAATGAGAATTAAAATTTATAATATTTTCATAAAATTTAAATTCATAAAATTATAAATAAAAAAAGAGACATTGAATACATAGGTTGGCATTAAATAGAGTCTAGGGACTAAAATTAATTTTCAATCTTGTACAGGACATTTTTCTAAACGTCATCTTATTTAAGGATTAAAATCTAGTTTTCTATAAAAATAAAATAGTAAGATAATGAAGTGAAATAGTTTTGTAGTATGATATGATAAAGTTGTAAATCATTTTGTTTTCGAATAATCAAATAACACATTAATAAAAACTAAAGTGCTTGATATTTTCTGGTTGATCAAATGACTTGTTATTTAAAACTACAGACAACAACTCCTTAATACACTGGGTTAATTAATCCGTAATCATCAACCGTAGCTCCGATGCAGTTACCTTAACCTAGACTCTGAAACGTCAAAACGCAGGCGACCCAGACAATGAAGCGTTAACCAAATTGAGTATACTGTTCCAGTAATTCCTGTTCTCTTCAAAGCCGCGACCGCCGCAGCTTCCGTCGTCGCCGCCATTTCGAGAGATCTCTCCGCCCAGCGACGCGTTCTGCTGATGATCCTCTGAGTCGTAAACCAAAACATCTGTGAAACCCTCCATGACCATACTTGAGAGCTCAGCTGGCACAACCACATTCTTCTCCTCATCAACATTCCCTGACCTAAAACCGTCCGCAAACCATGCAGCACTAGCATCCGTACAAGCAGAGGTAACATTATCATTGTTCTGCAACACCCCGGACTCGCATGGAAAACCATTGTTTATGTTTAGCATGGGGGGAGGATTAAACACGTTATTAACGTGCCTCAAGTTCAACTTGGACGTCGGAGATTCAAGGTCGTCCACGTCCGTCATAGAACCACCCGAAAACATCGAACTGTTAACGTTGTTTCTAATTGTTGAGTTTGTTGTCAACGAGCATCCCTCTTGCCATGCTTTGAGCACATCCAGGCACGGAAGCGCCGGCGGGGCGTTGCGGACGTGTAATACTTGGTGAGCAGGGTTGGGGGAGCTGCTGATCATGAGGTGGTGTTGGAAAGGGTTAGCGTTGGTTATGACAAGCTTGGATTCCTTGCCAAGTCTGGCCTCGGCTTCGAGCCTGGCACCCTCCCACTGCGCCATGTGGCTTATGTTGGCAGCGTCCTTGGCATGACCCTCGTGGTGCTTCAGCTTGTGAGTCATCGGGTCGATGCCCATCTTGGTTAGTCTCTTCTTGAGATGTGTGTTCCAGTAGTTTTTGATCTCGTTGTCTGTCCTCTTCGGCAAATGGCTTGCTATAGCTGACCACCTGAGATCAGTGAATTAATCATTGAGTACAAATCTAACAAAGTGCATACTAATTATCCTTTTTCATGGCTTAACATATAAAGGATTAACTAAATTAGTAATTAATGATGGAGAAGATGAGGAGAGTATTAGGACTGTGTGTGTTGTATTAATGGAGAAGATGGTAAAAGGAGAATATATATATTAGTACACACGTGTTAGAATTAGCAAGAATATACTGATATGAGTAATGTTATGAAAACTAAATAATGCGTCAACAATAGAAAATGAATACGTTTATCAACGTTTAAGTAATAATTCAATTGTTAACTTATATGTCATTTAGTTTATAAAATTTAGCCTTCTTAGTATTGCTCTAGTGATATTAACGATGAAAATAATAAAGAAGAATATTATTACTATATATATGTACGGACAAACACATGTGATATACATGGGTTGAACGATGTATAAAACTGGAGGGGAGAGAGAGAGAGAGAGAGAGAGAGAGAGAGAGAGAGAGAGAGAGTCGTGATCAGTTGATCACTGTACAAATTACAAATTATATTTAGATATTAAAGTTAAATTAATTTACCTATTTCCGACAAGAGCATGGAGCTGAATGATGGTCTGCGCTTCTTGCAAACTGAAATTTCCTCTTTTGATATCGGGCCTCAGGTAATTGGACCACCTTAGACGACAGCTCTTCCCACATCTTTGGAGCCCTATTTTTACATCACAAAACCACCTAAAATTAACATGGAAGTGCATGAAAAAAAAAAAAGCGTTTATCTCCGGCATGCTGGATGCATGTCTTATAATTAACCTTTTCGTTGACTATTTACCCTAAGACAAGCTGATTAAGTTTAGTGCGGAGGAATCACCTGCTTTTGCTGGCAAGGCTCGCCAGCTTCCATGGCCATGCTCTTCGATGCAAGTTAAGAGCTTTTGGTCTTCTTCTGGAGTCCACGGCCCCTTTTTCAAACCCACTTTTTCGCAGCATGGAGACCTCCCCATTTAGTTTGAAACCCTAGCTAGCTACGTTGCTCCAAGCCTTATAGCAAGGATATATAATCTCTCAAAGCTTAATTTGGCCTAGAATAATGTTGGAAAACCAGGAAGGGTGAGGCCAATGTATGCGCGCGCACACACATAAACGACGCATAAAGAATTAAATAGTAGGTGGATACACGTGGCGTCCATTTTATTTTTGCTGTGCTAATTTATGACTCAGCTTTTCAAATCCAACTAAATCGTACATTGTAGCAGTGAATCGATCGATGGTACATACTATTACTAATTACGGACGAGGATCCTCTTCGAATATTTTTCTGTGGGAATTTATAACGTTCGTAATATTTTTATTAATATTGTTAATTTGTTTTTAAACAATTTGATAACTAAACGATCTCAATTTTAATTGATTTTTTGCAGAAATGATCTATATATAGTAATTTATAATATGAACGATTTTAATTATAAAGACGAAGTTCTATAAATTGACAATGAACAATTTTAAGAAATTTTGAGTATGAGTTATTACTCATCTTTGAATAGTTAAATATTGTTCTTTTGTGAATGCATGTCTGGGAAATTGCCATACTTTCTGGACACTGATACTGTGAGAATTTTTAGCTCAAGGTTGTGGAGCCAGAGCTAATATGTAGTTGAGCTTTCACTCTTTATTTCAAATTTGAAATTTTAACAGGGTTTGGAGAGTTGGACTTTATTACCCAGCCAACTTTACCTTTGTTGGTAAATGCCTATATAGGAAGTCCTTAAGACCAACTTCAATGGTAGGCTAAAAGTCAAATTACCTCCCAAAATTTCCCCCCAAACCCACTCCAACCCAAGGGGAAATTTTGGGCTAAATGCTAAATGGTAAACCAATGCCAAATTCCCCCCAAAATTTAGCCCAGAAATCGGAGTGGACTCCACCCAATATTTATCAGAATTTAAATTTTTTTAGATTAAAATGTTCATAAAATTAATTTACGATAGTCTACATTTTTTTTTTAAATTAATCTAACAAAAAAAAAATAGCCTGAGTGCATTTTTTAATAATCTCGGGCTAAAAGTTTATGTTAGAACTGTTGGAGCAGAAAAACTGTTTCTAGGCTAAAAGCTAAATTTTTCGGGCTAAAAACCCCAACCACTGGAGATGATATAAGGAAGGAGATTTTTATTTTTGGGTTGTGATTTTCACACACCCTTAACTACTTTTCCAACACCTTTCCATATTTTTTAATACTTAATTGGTATTCTACTATTTAATCTTCCATATATACCCCTCCTTATTTAATCTTTCATTAATTACCATAAAAAAGTAGGAAAGGTATATATGGAAGATTAAATAGTAGGATACCAATTAAGTATTAAAAAATAGGGAGGGGTGTGGAAAAAGTAGTTAAGGGTGTGTGAAAATCACAACCCTTATTTTTTTCTAAAAATGGAGATTAGTAGTGGGGTCCACATAATATCGAATTTTTAACGATTCAAATCATCTATTTTTCAAGTTGCACCTCATAGATCATCCTTATAAAATATTAGCCAAATCGGAAATATTTGAGACATCTAATAATTGAATTTAAAAAAATTAACGAACACTTTGTTCTCTAAGAAACATTGACATTTCATTGTCATAATTAAATTGGCAAATAATTTCGGATTGAATTGAATTTTTGTAAGGATGATCCAGAAATCAATACTTACAAAATAGGCCGTTCGGATCGTTCAAGTTTGATGTGAAATTGGTCCCACACCCAATTCTCATTTTTTGAAAAAATGGGACCCGTTCCCTTAAAAGGCCTGCACACACACACACACACACAAATATATATATAGGGTAAAGCTATTCGCACACATTTTTTTTTACCTTGGACATATCTTGTTAATTTTTATCCATTAATGTTTTTAAATTCATTTGATCTGACTACCAAAAACCGAATGTTAAAATTTGTAAAAAAGTATACATGCATACACACACACACACACACACACTACAGATTTGTAAAAGAGAATATGCCGACAATTGTTTGTAAAATGTTGGGATTTGTAAAAGAGTATATGCTTCAGATTATAGACGGTTCGTAATACTTTTACCAATATTGTTCACTTGTTTTTAAACAGTTTGATGACTAAACGGTCTTAGTTTTAATTGATTTTTTGTATAGACGATCTTTATAGGGTGTTCTGATTATAAATACGAAGTTCTATAAATTGACAACGAACAATTTTGAGAAATTTTGAGTATGAATTCTTACTCATATTTGAGTAATCAAATATTGTTCTTTTGTGAATGCATGTCTGGGAAATTGCCATACTTTATGGACAGTGATACTGTGAGAATTTTTTAGCTCGAGGTTGTGGAGCTAGAGCTAATATGTAGTTGAGCTTTTACTCTTTATTTCAAATTTGAAATTTTAACAGGGTTTGGAGAGTTGGACTTTATTACCCAGCCAATTGTACCTATGTTTGTAAATGTCTATATAGGAAGTCTTTAAGGAAAGAGATTTTTATTTTTTTTCTAAAAATAAAAATTAGTAGTGGGGTTCACATGATATCGAATTTTTAACGATTCAAATCATCTATTTTTCAAGTTGCACCTTATAGCTTTTTCTTACAAAATATTAACCAAATAGAAAATATTTGAGACATCTATTAATTGAATTTAAAAAAATTGACAAACATTTTGTTCACTAAGAAACATTGAAATTTCATCGTGATAATTAAATTGGCAAATAATTTCAGATTGAATTGAATTTTTGCAATGATGATCCAGAAATCAATACTTATAAAATAGGCGGTTCAGATCATTGAAGTTCGATGTGGAGTAGGTCCCACAACCAATTCTTATTTTTTGAAAAAAATGGGACCCGTTCTCTTAAAGGGCCTGCACACACACACACACACACACACATATATAGAGGGTAATGCTATTCACACACCTTTTTTTACTTTAGACATATCTTTGTTAATTTTTATCCATTAATTTTTTTTTTTAATTCATTTGATCTGATTACCGAAAACTGAATGTTAAGATTTGTAAAAGAGTATACATGCGCTCGCGCGCGCGCACACACACTAACAAAGAGTATACATGCGTGCGCGCACACACATATATATACTCTTTTACATAAAATAAGCTGAAGCATATGCCGACAATTTTTTGTAAAAAGTTGGGATTTGTAAAACAGTATATGCTTCAGCTTATTTTATGTAAAATGCTAGCATTGCGGTAAATGCATAATCAATGTAGAACACACATTTGATCAGAGGTGAGAAATCGTCTAACCTAAACAAAATCTACATACTAATTATCAGTTAGCGGTAACCCCATGTGAACCTATGTGCCAATAAATTAAAAGGAAAATTAATGAAAAATGTTTGAAAACTTTGAGGGTCCGTTTGTTTGGCTTCACTAAACTTTCTTGGACTGGATTGAATTGTAATCCGATGTTTGTTTCACGCGGGGACTACGTTTAATGAGACTCGCCTCGACTTAGTCCAACTAACAGCTTCGCTACAGGGTCTTAGCGAGACCCCCCGAAATTAGGCGGACTGCTAAGACCACTATACTCCGCTTCACTCCTACCCACTTCGTCCTCCCATCTACCTTTTCCTCGCGTCTCACAACCCATTTCAAACCCAGATCCTGCAAAATCCGAAACAAAAAAGCAACAAAATTTCCCAAGGTTCCCTTTTCAGAACCAGATCCAACTCCCAAAATTCGAACCCAGATAACCCAAATAAGTTAGAAAATCAAAAAAAATTTTGCAGTGGGATGAGCTTGAAAATTTCACCCAGAAAACCCAAACCAGATCCAACCCTCGTCTTCTATACCTTCGAGCCAATCACACATGCACCTCACCTCCTTCAATCTCTTTCTCGCTATGTGTTTTGATTTTAAGATTTGCAACCGATTTTGTGAGAGGAAGTGAAGAGGCAAAAGGTGGAGAGGAATGAAGAGGCATAGAGAATTTGCTTTGGAAATAGGAGGCAGATTGTCTGTCTTCTTGTTTCGATGCCCTTCTCATCCCCTCTTATTTTGTGCGGTCACGGTTAAGCCACGTCAACATTTTATATTCCTATTGCTTTTTGTCTTATTATCTTTATAAAAAATATTGACGTGGCTTAACCATGACCGCACAAAATAGGAAGGGATGGAAAGGGCATCGAAATAGGAAGGCAGACAATCTGCCTCCTTGGAAATATCGGTCTGTTTTTCAAAAAATAAAGGTTGTTCTTCTAAAATAAAAGTAAAGGCAGCAAATGAAACATTAATTAGGTTTTTAAAAGTTAAATAACTACAAATAATATTTTAATATTTGTTGTTTTGTTGTTTTTAAACGCAAAAATAAATAAATAATAATAATAAATAATTAGTTTGTAGTTTAGTCCAATAGTGCACCAAACGCTTCACTAAGTTAGTCCGGCTTAGTCTAGTTTAAGCCAATCTAGCTTAGTCCTTGAAGCTTCTCCAGTCCGAGATAGTCTGGTACAACAAATGCATCCTGAGTGTTAACGATAAGGACAAAATAAATGATAAAGTGAATAGTATCATGATTGATTTTTTAGTGGAAAAATGTGGTTTTTCGTTAAAGTAAACTGTACCGAAATCTCTTCGTTAAAGTTCCCAAAATTAAAACCCCAATAATGTGCAAAATTAGCTAAATTGCTACTTTCTCATAATTAACCTACCATATTCCAAGCATTCGGGATTACGGATACTTATCATAAAGTTATGGCATATCTAGAAACTGTCATTAAAAGATAATTTATGATTGTATATAACATAAGAAATGAACAATTAGGATATGAGATTACTTTTAAAGCATATCTAGATGAATGATTAACATAGTATTAAATTACTAAATTAATCAGTGTTTGAGCGCTCACGTGTGTATATTTAAGCTTACGACGAAACTGCAATTCATTTACTTCCAAATGGACAAAATATCTTTGCAGGTGGCCCTAGCTCTACTAAAATGGTGAAGAGGAGTGTTGTCCTTACATCATAACGTGAGTTCGAATTTCGTTGGCTCCTTAATCTAACATATAATGTAACAAATTTATCGTTTTAATAAAAATCTCAAAATATTTAATCTAATTTTTTTTCTTATTTCTTATTAATTTAATAAAAAAATAAAGTAAATCCTGCTATTTTCTTCCATACCTGCCGGAATAGTTGTAAGGAGGATTCCGGAGACTCTCAATGACACATTTAGTGCCTTGGTTCCCAAAGTTCCCAGTCCAATGTCCATGCAGACCTGTTAGCCTTGAATGCACTTATTTCTATCTCACCAAAATATGAATGTGTCCAGAAAGCGACTATAGCCTATAGGTATGCACTTCGTACATAACGATTAATAATCATTAAAAACACTCTGCATGTGTGCAGGGAGAAAATTAACTCTTATATAAGAACCTCCAGGAAGTCAGTCCGAAATAGTACTTTATGCAATGGTGTTGAACATGAGGGGTGAAGGCTAGCTATGATTGGTTGAGTTGGTTATGATCGTTCTTTTAATTAGATCATGATTTAAATTTGAGTTTCTTTGCCGACAATCTCTCTTAATAGACGATCTGTAAAACAAAAAAATAAGCTAAAACCTCTTCTATAAATTCTTAAAGACACTTGTGATATTGCCCTAATCCTAATATGGAATGACCGCTCCGCCCCTAAACTTTTAACAAACACACAAGATGAGGGGTAAAGTAGTTAAAAAGTTTATGTTCAGGTAATAAAATTACCACCCTCAAGTTATAAAAAGGAATACTTTAGATGCGATCTTTAATCCTTAACATTCTTTGACTAAAACCTTAATGATATTCAAAGTTTGAGTAAAGTTCCTTGACTTTGAACACCTCATTATATTACAATTAATAATTATATTTTTATAGTTTTGACATTAATTGTTTGATATTTTATGAGATTTATAATCCTATAAATTTAAAATCCCTCATTATAATACTATTAGAAACGCTTACAATAAAAAAATTCAAACATTTTGACTGAATAAATGGATAAAAACTATGTAAAAATAAGAAATAATGAATGGCAAAAGAATGTATCCATAGTGTTAAAAGAAATTGGTACATTTTACAAAAAAAAAATTGGTACATTTCACATATAACAAAGTGGTACATTAATAAAGAAGAATGGGTACATTATAAATAAATTAGGGTACAGATAAAAAATTAAAAAGTTATGAGTACAAATGAATTTTTAAAAAATATAGGCACTAAAAAAAATTAATACATCGGTACAAAATAAAACTAAAAAGAAAATACTACAGATTTAAACAAATGTTGCAAATTAAAAGTGGGTACAAACTAAAAATATAAATATGTAATACAAAGTTTAGGCATAAAACATAAATATACCATATGTAATTTTTCTATCATTGATTAAATATACAATGTCATGTAACAGTATACATGTCACATCCCGGCCCGGGACGGATCACTTTCCGGGCTCGCTCCACCACCGTAGCACAATATTGTCCGCTTTGGGCTTACCATTCCCTCAAGGTTTTGTTTTTGGGAACTCACGAGCAACTTCCCAGTGGGTCACCCATCATGGTATTGCTCTAACCCCCTTCTCGCTTAACTTCGGAGTTCCTACGGAACCCGAAGCCAGCGAGCTCCCAGAAGGCCTCGTGCTAGGTAGAGTTGGGAATATACATTTAAGAATCACTCCCCTGGACGATGTGGGATGTCACAATCCACCCCCCTTAGGGGCCCGACGTCCTCGTCGGCACACACGCGGCTAGGGTTAGGCTCTGATACCAAATTGTCACATCCCGGCCCAGGGCGGATCACTTCCCGGGCCCGCTCCACCACCGTAGCACAATATTGTCCGCTTTGGGCTTACCATTCCCTCACGGTTTTGTTTTTGGGAACTCACGAGCAACTTCGCAGTGGGTCACCCATCATGGGATTGCTCTAACCCCCTTCTCGCTTAACTTCGGAGTTCCAACGGAACCCGAAGCCAGTGAGTTCCCAAAATGCCTCGTGCTAGGTAGAGATGAGAATATACATTGAAGGATCACTCCCCTGGGCGATGTGGGATGTCACAATAGCTCCCAAAAGGCCTCGTGCTAGGTAGAGATGAGAATATATATTTAAGGATCACTTCCCTGGGCGATGTAGGATGTCACAATACACATGGGTACAAACACAAATAAAACTTTATAAAATATGGGCACAAAAAGAAACTAATATATGAGTACAAATTAAAAATGAAAAAAAAATTGGTACAAATTAAAAATAGGTACAAACTAGAAAAAAAAATATAGGAAAACTAATGAAAATGACTTGAAAACTTTGAATTTTAATGATAAAGACAAAATAAAGGGTAAAATGAATAGTATTAGGATTAACTTTTTAGTATAAAAATATGGTTTTTCGTTAAAGTAAACAGTACCGCTGGCTTTTCATTAAAACTTCCTAAAAATATATGATAAAAAATTTAGCCATAAATATAAATATACTAATTGTAACATTTTTAACACTAAAGGAATATATTTAAAAATAAAAATATTTTATTATTCAAATAATTAATGATGTTATTAATATCCAAAGACCTTGATCAAAAATTGAAAATGAATAAGATTTTAATCAATACAGTAGTAAAAAGAAGGATGTAAACCTAATTTCTCTAGCTATGAATCAGCCGTTGAACTCGACCTCGTAGCAGTTTTCGAAGTCATGGCGGTTTTGAGTGGGTTGAAATGAGACGACGAGATTCTGAGGAGGATGAGAGGGATGGTTGTGGGTGCAATGGTGTTGGTCGACGTTAAGTGAGAGTGGAGAGATCTTAAAAGATGACAAATAAGAAGAATGAGAGAACCCAGAAACGTTTTGATGACAACACGAAGAACCCAGAAAAGTATGTTAATTTAATTTTAAATTTAAATTGATAAATAAGTTAAAGTTGTAATTTTTTTTATTTTTATTATTGTCAGTAAATGTGAGCTTTGCACTTTTTAAAATCATCGATCAATATAACAAATTGATTAACGGTCGCATGATATTGGTAATTCTCATGCTAAACCCAAAACACGAATTGCCAGAAGTATCAAATGGAAATGGAACGAAAAGTTGATGGGATAAAAAACCTCTGTTTTTTTTTTTTTTTTTTTTTTGTTGGTGTTGTTTTATTTGAGATGGATTCATCTTATCTTTTTCGTTTAGAACCGTCGACATTACTGCATGGCAGACAATTTATGATGATGCAACTGGAGCATGCAATAGTAAGTGGGATCAAGATCCTTTCCTGATCTAAGGATACATGTCCTCCTGACCAAGGAGTGTGGACCGTTGGATGAAAATCCAACGGCTACAAACAGGGGGGTCCCTTTAAAGTTATAATAATTATAACCGTTGGATTTTCATCCAACGGTCCACATTCCTTGGTCAGGATGATCCTCATCCTCAGATTAGGAGAGGATCCTGATCCTAGTAAGTGGTCGCTAGTTTTTTAACTTGTACGTACTCGGACGATAAAACCAAACTACAAAAGGCCCTCATAGAGGAGATCAACGATGAAAAACGGAGGACTATCAAACCATTCGCAGTGCCAATACTCAGGCTATAGCGGGCAAGACGATGAGGAACGGTGTTGGGTTGGCGACGAATTCAAATGATATGGTTGTCCACACATCTTTAATGATTGTAGGGAGCAACATTTCGTATCCTCCACGATATATTCAATAACTGTTTAACTGACGTGCAACTTATGTCTTGCATGTGCAATTTAATTCACGTACAACCATGGTCCTTAATGCCTATTTGAGGATGTCCTCTCCAATTTTTGGTACGTTTTTCTTTGACAAAAACAGGAGAAGCTACCATAAAATTTAATGGGTGAAAAGCAGACACTTGATGTAAATAGCTAGAATTGATTATTATTTGTCGCATGCATAGCGCTGACACATCATTTATGAACATATACCAAATGTAGGTACATGTTCCACCATATATAACACACTTTACATTTGTGGGACCATGCCACACGTCACATTTTGGACCAAGTGGACTTAGTTCCGTCTACCGCATGTACTAAAATATACAAAATGTTATTCATATCATGTTTTTGTACAACATTTCTATACAATTTTATATAGCATATAATGTGGATAGCCACATCATTTAAAAAATTTACAAAACCCGATGAAAAGAAGGAGAAAGACTTCTCGTATACCATAATCATCATTTAATTAATTAGTTTTTTTTAATTATTAGTTTATTAAATAATGAACTAAATTTAAAAATCTGATTAATTCAAATGATGTGACTATTCATATCAAATACCACCTAAAATGGTATGAAGATGTGATACAAAAATATAATATGAATACTATTACTCTACAAAGATTTACTTGTATGGAAATAAATTATACGGTTAGTGTCACGGTTGTGCTCAACTTACGTGTGAACAGACTTTAGAAAAGGAATCTCCATTTCTTTTAAAATGTGGGAGTTTTTTTGTGTGTGTTTTTGTTTTTTTTTGGGGGGGGGGGGGGGGGGGTTGTGGCGAGATGATAAACGAGGAATATTTCATCCCGGTGAGCGCTGCTTAGGAAGTAGTATATTGAAGAAGAAATTGACGTAGATGATAGAGGCAAAATTAAGCGCAGTTGGTGCTTTAGTTGTAGATTAGCAAAGCTGTTAACTATGATATTTTGTCGGTATCTATCTAACAATCAGGGGAGGGGGCGGGGGGTTGTCAAATCAATACAATTTGAACTGTTTATTTTTTTAAGTTGTATTTTAATAGGGATTTTTAGCACCTGTAAAAGTAGGGATAAGGACACTTAAAATACTTGCACAAGTACAAGATAATTGTAATATAGTTAGCTCTAGTACGGTCATTTTCCACAAGAATTGAATGAAAAATTTATGTCAAATCAAATCTTAATTAATTACTTAAAACATAATTTTTGAAAAAAAAATTGATTTTGTGATTTCAAATAATAAAAACGAATTTAATAGAAATAATTAAATAAATTGGTAAAATAACATAAACTAAAAGAAAACAGCTTTTAAAATTTAAATTTTGAAAGCACTACGATTCCGTCGTCATCTTAACAATCCTATGTCGTTCTTCCAATTACTTATGACTTACACATGCATATTTGAAGGTTAGGTTTTCTTAATATATGCCTACTTGGAACCCCAACATAGAGCATATATCAAACATGCAATATGTCTGTGATATTCAGATTAAATCTAAACATGCAAAACTCATTAAGTTTTGTGAAACCTTTTGAAAAGTCATGCAACCCTTAAGACATGGTATTTATTTTAAGTGAACTTGCATATATGAACCACAAGAAGCCTTCATCAATTTCAGGGACCGACCTCCAACCAAAATTGCATCAAATTACTTTTCTAAACATCCTAATGGTGATCAAGCATTAAGACAATTAGATAGCTTAAACCGGTGATTAATAATTCAAACTTGCATGCATAATATCATAAGCAAATTAAAAAGAAACTATATATTCTTACTAAGGCTCATGGCCTCGCCCTAGCAAAAAAGAATTAGTTATGAACAATCATAAAACAAAAGGAATTTTATTGAAAAATAGAAAAATGATAGAAAACACCTTGAAATATAAATCCTCAAAGCCTAGCAATGTTCTCCAAAATTTATGCGCTCTTCTCTTCTCTCCCCAAAAACCCTAATAGTTAAAAAGTCTTATTTATACAACTACACAATTAAAATACTTACAAGAAAAGGTCTTCTAAAAACTAGGAAACAAAATAAGTTAAGAGAAACTAGGAAACATAATCCTAATCATATACGGGAAATCTGCCCAGCCACAAATTAGCCATGTTTCTGAATCTTTAGGGCTTCAAAACAGGCCCAAAACGGCATGAATTAAAGCTTGAGATGTGCCGAACATAATTGCAGAAGGCTTTGAACCCACAAGACATCATCTTGGACCTTAAAAAGCCCAAATAAGCCCCAAATGTCACTTTGACAGCATTGGGCGATGCTCATTTATTTCATTACCATAAATAAACCGCATAGTACAAAATCTAAAACTTTGACAAAATCTAAAACTTTGACTTGAATAAGTTGAGAGACACACGAATATCCTCTAATTGAAATCACTCCAAAATTCATCCCGTTGGCCAATTTTTGCTGAAGAGGAAGTCGAATGTCCTACATTAGAAATATAATTCAAAGTATCAAAATTCTTATAAAATAACTAATAAATTAATAATAAGATTAGGGTAATATACATAATATAATATCTAGTCATCACACCTCATATATCATTCTTGCCAAATATTAGTCAAATCGGAAATATTTAAGGTATCTAATTGAATTCAAAGAAGTTGACGAAAACTATGTTTTAAGAAACATTGAAATTTTATCATAATAATTTAATGGGCAAATGAATTCAAATTGAATTGATTTTTTTTCAAGGATGATCTATGAATCGAGACTTACAAAATAGACAGTTCAGACTGTTGAAGTTCGTTGTGGAGTGGGTCTCACACACTTAAACTCCGTTCTTTGAAAAAAGAAAAAAGAAAAAAAAAAGAAAAAGAAAAAAGAGCTATTTGCTAAAGAACTTGTATATATGAATACTCTACGTATGTATGATGCATCTTTCCAACGGCAAGTTCTTTTTATTGGTTAAGGGATGAGCTTGGAGGACATTACAATGAAATTTTTTAAGTTATAGGAAATGATTTCCGTTTACTCTCTCTATTCTTTTGCACACGTGCGGGAAGAAAAAGAGTGATGAGTAACGTCACAATAGTTGTGGTGAGCAGGTGAGCAAAGTAATGAACGGTGGTTCTATTTCTCATTACATGTTTACTTTGGCAGTCGGCAATGACAACGTTTAATGATGGTTGGTTGCTTTTGCTTCTTCATCTATGATCTTTCTAACCTTTCAGTTGATTTAGTTTGAAGAATCAATGGGAAGCACTGTTGATTATATTTATGGGATGATAATAACTTGGAATCAGAATGTAATAAATGGGAATGATACTAGGGTATAAGATAAACTACCCTTCTGTGACAAAAGAAAAATGAAATAAACCACCCCTTCCTAAATGACACATGATTGTTTAGGTGCCGATTACAAGTTTTTAATCTGTGTTGCTTATTTTTCTGGTTCCTTAGGTGTTACTAAGTACACACATGAATCAAGGTGATGAACTATATGATACGTGGCTGTTTAGGTATGTGATAATCATACCCCATAATTATCTTATACCTAATTGTTCACGTATGAGATATATAACCGATTTTAACGTAAGGCCAAATTCTATTTTGATTCCTTACGTGACAATAAAGGCGAAATTTTGTATGGAGAGAAATGATACTTATACTTCGCATACGAATTCGAATCAATTTCAGAAAAAAAAAGTGTTTAGAAAAAGAGAATCCTGCAATTTGTCGAAACTTCTCATACTAGACCCATAACACGAATTGCCTAGGACCGAGGAGGAAAGAACCCTTTCCACAGTGCTCTTCAACCTTCAACTTTGACGGTCTTCACCAGACAATCGTACGAATTGTTATGCATAATCTTCCCTTCCTTGCTCCGCCACTGATTCATCATTCTCGTCTTTTACCACATCGGCTGGACAACTCAAAGAAGTTGCCAAAAGGCCCTTACGTCATCGACGCCAAAGTATGGGCGGATATGTTGTCCTCAGAAACCCCATTTTCGAACACAAAACGTTCTGCCTGATCATAACAAGCAAATTCTCCCATGTTCACCAAGAATGCTCTTTGGACATTAGGGAAAACCGCTTTTCAAAGTCCCCCAACGCCTTCTACTCGTACGATCTTGTTCAAAACATCGAAACACCCCGAATACCTAGTCTGCTTGCATCCTTACCTTAACAAGATCTGCAGGGCTTGCCACCAACTGCACTACTAGCAGTAAACAGAAGTATATACCATTACTTCCGAAGCGTTTACAGAATTTAAAACGAAATAAAATCAATTAGCCTACTAAATTACTTCAAACTGTCTACCTTAATGTACGTATTGTGTAATCATTCTATAGATACATTTTGGAGAGAGCAGCATGCAGAAATGCGAAATTATGCCGAATGATCTGATTGATTCTGAGAGGAATAACAGCAATATTAAAGCAACCAAAGCTCAGCCATCTCAAACAGGTTTCTTTAAATTTTATGTTTCACCCAGGGGTGATGGTTTTGGGATTTTTCTTTGCAGCATTAACAGAAGACTAGTTATTTTATTTGATTCCACTAAATTCGGGCGGATTTCTTAGGAACTGAACTGGGAGATAAAGGGGTTTCCATGGACAATTTTGATGCTACAAGCATCTCTTCAAATTTCTGGCCTCAAATCCATTTAATGAATTGTTTCCTTGGTACTATCATTTATTTGAAATTTTTGATAGAGGGATTGAAATATCTTTATAGGGTAAATAGCCAAAATGGTCCCTAAGATTTACATAATACATCACTTTGGTCTTGAGATTGTCCACTATCCATCATTTTGGTCATTCCGTTAAAAACTCCGTTAAGTGTCCTGGAGCTGTTGCCGGAAGTTTGGACAATTTTTAAAATTTCGTAACTTAATCATTTCTTAACCAAATTCGACCCATAATATATCAAAATGAAAATAGGAAAGTGTACAAAAAGATTATACTTATTTGGAAGCTCAATGGTTGCCGGAGATAGCCAAAAAATAGCCTGAAATGTGATTGGTCCGTGGAAAAACTGGAAAACTCGCCGGAAACTAGGCAAACTTAAAACATTCATAACTTCTTCAATACTCAACGAAATCAAGTGATTAAAAAATGAAAAGCATACTTCTCGACGAGACAAAGAGAATGGTACCTTTTTCGATGGCTACCTCGCTGTGGTATGGCTGGAAAACGGCTTGAAATTGGCTAACTCGAGACCAATATAGCTAATTTTGAGTCATTTTCCGGCCAAACCACTAATATTTAGCTATCAATAAAGGTACCATTCTCTTCATCTCATTGAGAAGTATGATTTTTGTTTTCGAATCACTCGATTTTGTTGAGTATTGAAGAAGTTATGAACATTTAAAGTTTACCCAGTTTCCGGCGAGTTTTCCATTTTTCCCAGTCACTTTTCAGTCTATTTTCCAGCCATCACTGGCAACCATTGGGATTCCAAATAAGTATAATCTTGTTGTACACTTTACTATCTTCATTTTGATATATTATGAGTTGAATTTGGTTAAGAAACGATTGAGTTACAAAGCTTTGAAAATTGCACAAACTTCCGACCAAGGGTTCAGGGACACTTAGCGGAAGAACCAAAATGATGGATAGTGGACAATCTCAGAGACCATTTCTATTGATTTTCAATCTCAGAGATCAAAGTGATTTTAAATTTCGGGATGAGTCCCTCAATGTATCTGGGCCTGTTGACAAACTACTATCTGATTATGCAAAGAGGTTTAATGAAATCAAGACACCTCGTAAACTACTATGGAAGAAAAGTCTTGGTACTGTCAAGGTACGGTGATTGCACAATGTCATTTCATGCCCTTTCCTATTAGGAGTTTTTTGACCTGCTTACTGTTTCTTTATTTTCTGGATCACTGAATCGACGTTAACAACATGCATGGTGGTTGGTGTTGTTTTAGTTGGAGTTGCAATTTGACGAAGAGCAGTGCAATTCATGGTTGCTCCCGTACAAGCAGCAATTATAATGCATTCGTTACCTACTTTTTGCTATATTTATATTTTCTACTTTCAGCTGGACTTCTAAGGATCTTGCAGCTGCAATTTGGGTTCCAGTAGACGTGCTTAATCGCAGGGTAAATTTCTGGATAAGCAAGGTATGCTTGATAAACTCATGCTTTCATGTTTCATAATTTACTTCTCGTCATTCAATACAAAAATAGATAGAGTGAGAGTATTTGAAACTCTGGATGCCGCACCAGTGGTTTGTTTAGATGGATTCGTACCTGTTACCGATTGAAGTTTTGAGATTTGGAAGTCAAGAGGAAAGCTCATACACTTGTCTCTTTTTTCCTACTGAAGGGAAATCTTGCAAAATCGCTTGGAGCAGAGCAGATTCTGAAGACCACGTGTTTACAAGAATGGAAGGCATGGTTGACACTGGTAAAAGGGGTGATAACAATGGGAGCATTGTGGATCTTGTAGCTGGTGATGAGGAGGGAGAGAGCTCTGTAGCTTCCGTAGAGGATCAACTGCGCAAGGGAATGACTGTGTATGAGGTATGATGTGTTCGAGATTGCTAATCTCGCTTCCCCGAATGTGTTTTCATCTGTAATATTAGGGCCTTGTTAAAATATTTCTGACGAAAAACTAAAGGAAAGTTGATAAAATATGTTTGAAAACTTTGAGTTTTAAGCGAACAGTACCAGGATTGACTTTTTAGTGTAAAAATATGTTTTTTGTTAAAATGAACAGTATCGAGATCTTTTCGTTAAAGTAAGAGCGCGAAATTGTCGCTTATGATACTATCTTCTAAAATAGTGCTGGATAATTTGTTTCTGCAAAGCTGTTTCTAATTTATCTCCATACACATTCCTGCAGATGTTCTGCATAGCGGATCCACCTTACGACAAGACTCTCCTGCAGCTACAGAGTTTCTTACCGGGTCTAGTCTCCGACGAGTAGTTAGAACTAAGAGATGGAATGCATTTCATGTAAAAGCAATTACTAAACAGAATTGCAATGTATTCTTTAGCATCCTTATCATTTTAGTAAATCTATACAGAAAGATAATTCTTCACGCGGTTTCTCCTGTACCTTTCCTCCCTCTGCCTTCAGAAAAAAATGAAACACTCCTAGCCGCCGCTCCTTGCTCCGGTTTGGGGACGGCGGCAATCCGACCCCAAGCCGAGTATTTTGTGCATGCGCGGAAGGATATGTGGTTTAGTCGTTCGCACCAATAATTTTTCGTTTGAGATCAAACATTTTTGCATGTGGTCCAACATCCTAAGGGATAGGGTGTTGCGTTTCCACCTATGCATCTTAGATTCGAAACTACCCCTCCACTAAATTTTTGTAACAGTTTCAAACCCTCCCCTTACCTTTAGTAATAAATTAAAGTCACTAACTTAGTATTACGGTCTAGTAACATTCCTCTGCACTTATAAGTGAGATATCTTAAGTTCAAGTCTCGCCAAATGCGAATTTGAACAACATTATTGTTAATATTTTAGTTTAGATAATATCGCTTTTCAAAAAAAAACAAAACAATTTTTTTTTTTTGCATATGGTTCAATATTTTAGTAGATAGGATGTTGAATATCTTGTATCCCGAGTTCAAAACTCTTATTTCCCCCATACTAGTTTCCAATCCTTTCCTCACCTTAATAATAATAAAAGTTTCCGTTTGCAATCTTAACGACGTTCTGCTTTTTTTGCTGGCTATATTTTACGACCTCGTCAAGACCGACATATCCGTTTAACGTTACAAAAAATGCAGAATAAAAAAAGGCAATGTGACCGTTACATAATCCCAAATTCAAAAACTACATCGAAACGAAACCCTCACCCAAAAAAAAAAAAAGAACCGAAATTCAGATAGATGAGAGAAGAAGCTCAACAGCAGGATCAACTGGCAATGGCGACAGCAGAAGAGCAACTGCAGCAGCTCCGGTCCAAAGCCACGGAGCTCCTCCTCCGAGAAGAATGGCAGGAGTCCGTACAAGCATACTCTCACTTCATCACCCTCTGCCAATCCCACATCTCAAATTTCCCTCAAAACCCCGACCCCGATCATCTGCCCAAGCTCCGAAAATCCCTCTGCCTTGCCCTCTCCAACCGGGCCGAAGCGCGATCCAGGCTCCGAGATTTCGCTGAAGCATTGAGGGATTGCGATCGGGCATTGGAAATCGAGAGGGCCCATTTCAAGACTCTTGTCTGCAAAGGCAAGATCTTGCTGAATCTGAACAGGTATTCCATGGCGCTGGACTACTTTCGAACAGCTCAGCTCGACCCGCAGGCTAACGGGAGCTCTGTGGACCTCGATGGGTACTTGCAGAAGTCCAAGAAGCTCGAGCTGATGTCGAGAACTGGAGCCTTTGATCTCTCTGAATGGGTTGTTAACGGGTTTCGTGGGAAGCCTCTGGAACCGGCTGAGTACATTGGTGCAGTGCAGATCAAGAAATCGGAGATTAGAGGGCGTGGACTGTTTGTGACGAAGAACATTGACGCCGGAACTTTGGTGCTGGTCACGAAAGCGGTTGCTACAGAGAGAGGAATTTTTCCTGGTCAAGATTTGGATGAGAATACACAATTGGTCATGTGGAAGAACTTCACTGAAAAAGTGATGCATTCCGTGGCTAAATGTTCGAGAATCCGCAATTTGATTAGTACATTGTCGAGTGGGGAAGATGAGGATGAGCTTGAGGTCCCTGAGATCAATCGCTTTAAGCCCGAGGCGGAGCACAATGGCGGCTACCATAATGAGAATGAGCATGATGCGAGCAGGATGTTGAGCATATTGGATGTCAATTCACTTGTTGAGGATGCAATTTCTTCCAAGGTTTTGGGGAAGAACAACGATTACTACGGTGTTGGGCTGTGGGTGCTGGCTTCATTCATCAACCATTCATGTGTTCCGAATGCAAGACGTATGCATATAGGAGATTATGTAATGGTTCATGCTTCTAGAGATGTCAAGGCCGGGGAGGAGATAACATTTGCATATTTTGATGTGCTTTCGTCGTTGGAAAAGCGCAACGAAGGTAGCAAGACATGGGGTTTTAGATGTAACTGCAAGAGGTGCAAGTTTGAGGAGAAACTGTATTCTAGAGAAGACTTGAGAGAGATTGAGATGGGTCTCGAAAGAGGGATGGATGCCGGCGCAGCAGTTTACAAGCTGGAGGAAGGCATGAGGAGGTGGATGGTGAAGGAAAGGGAGAAAGGGTACTTGAGAGCATCGTTTTGGGAAGCATGCTCTCAGGCTTATGACTCAGAGAAGTCGGCAAAGGGGTGGGCAAGACGCATACCGCCAATAGAGACGGTGGTTGATAGCGTTGTGGAAGCGGTGGGAAGTGACGAGAGGGTGCTGAAGATGGTGGCGGAGAAGTTGAAGAGACGTGGTGGAGGAATGGTGGAAATGGAGAGAGCTATGAAGTTGGGAAGAGGGGTGTATGGGAAAGTAGTGAAAAAGCAAGCAATGAAGACTCTTCTTGGTTTAGGCATTCTTTAATTAAAGCTATTAACTAATAGCCTAAATTTTCAATCTTTATATTTTCTTGTATTAGCAAATAATCCACTGATGATCTGATTTCTTGTTCAACCAATGCAATTTTTTTATTTTTCAACAAGTCGATATTTGAACTACTCCAATTTGGGAGCAGATGACGACATTTTCGTCAATGGCGCGTGGCTTGAAGCTAATATACTAGAAAATAGCTTTGGAATTGCTTTTACAGCAAATAAACACCCCGGAAAACCAGATCGAATTGTAGATCAGGAGATCAGTTTCTTCTTCTTCTTCTTCTTCTTCTCCTCCTCCTTCTCCTCTGGTCTTTCATCATCAATCCTGTTCTGGCTCGAAAAATTGCATGAAACCAGGGATACAGCCCGAAGCCGAAGAAAGCTTTGCAGAATATGTAGCAACAAGAAAACAGACTCCTAATGATTGCCAAGTCATAAAGGTCATGCTAACATCCATCAAAACTACCTCCAACAGAAGAAAGAATTCCAGAAATTACCTTCCAGACAGGCGTAAAGCAGCTAGCAACCCAGCAAATTACGCACAGCAGAGCAGCCAAGGAGCCAGCTTTCGCATCCAGACAGGCGTAAAACACCAAATAGACTAAAGCCAACAAGAGGCCAACGTTGAAATTCATAACAACATGGTCTCCCAACACTGAAAACCCGAAATGCAGCATCTTCCGCAATCAATAACATTTATGCATGACAAAGAGCTCTAGTTCATAATGCACCTACAAACAAATTGGATATATTTCTTATACTATGGGAACGTAGAAGCATCGTTCTAATGTAAAACGAAACAAAACTTTCAAATAACTGGAACAAGTGAACGTTATTATACGAACATAACTTGGCAAGAAATATTAGAAAAATCCCATTCATTCTAAACAGAAACAAAAGAGAGCACTGGGAAAAATTATATTAATAATCAATGAAAAAGAAATCTCTTTGTTCTAATGCAGAATGGAGAAAGGTTTATCAAGCCTCAGTTGAAGTCCTTCAATCTTTTCTTAAGCGTATCAATTGATTTCTTACGAGCACTTTGCTTGGTATTCCTGTTTGAAAGGCTCCCAAAAATACCATCAGCAGAATCCTTGAATTTCTCGCAGATACTAGCCACCTTTTTATAATCCAAAGCATTGTAGTTTTTCTCCCTTATCACGGGATTCATGAAGTTCTCTGGCTGACTGCTTGACAAAAGGTTTATCAGTTGTCGTGCTTCTATCAAGCAACCTCTAAAACTACCTTCTTTGTAAATTTCGCTCAAGCCGGTACTGTGAAACCTCTCGTCTGCAAAATTCTCCAACATCTTCAAATCGTAGTTGATACCCATAACTGCATTAGCATTGAACCTCTTGACGCTATCACTTAGAAAAGTCGACACTATAGTGTTAGAAATGTGTTCGAGAGCCCCACTTCCGACCTTGTATAAAGCATCCAAAGGTAAAATTTGTTGTGCTGTCGACATAAGAGTGTCGAGGTAAATAACAACTTCATTTATACACTCATTTCCATTCTGTGGCATTTCCTCCATAGTCCAATTGATATTCTCTGTAAGTGCCATGAACTCATCCAACTTAGTGTTTACAAACTTCAGCAAAGCAAGATAAGCTTCATCCCTTGAAGTCTTTAGAACCACCTTAGCAGTTAAACTAGCTTGAGGCCTCTCAACTGAACGGATTGGGATCCGACATAGTTGGGCTGCATGACGAAGAAAATAGTCACAAGCTCTTTCAAGTACCGATATGTTTGCAGCAATCTGCATCGCTTGAGAGACACCAATGTTACCGCTTTGAATTGTATTAAGTATCACCTCATTTAACACATCAATCAAGAGTTTGTCCAGATACTTCCTCACAACATCATAATAATTAGTATGTGCCCCATGAGACAAGTAATCAACAGACCCTTTGATGAATGATCTGACAATTCGGCAGGTATCAGGTACTGCAGAGGAGAATGGTGCAATATATGGAAAAGCCGGTATTATATCTGATGTCTGGAGATTGAATGACAGGACATTACTTTCGTAGTCAGTGTCCTTTTTCAAGACCATCTGCTCATAGGTATCATTGGCAATAACATTTGCGATTTGTTTCCGACACTCTTCTGAAAGAAGCTCGTGGTATTTCTTTCGGCTCTTGTCAAGCGTCTCAAGAAGTGGTCCCACTTCATATCCATATTGTCTAAGAGTAGAGCCAAGAAGAGTCACATAATCCTTTACCAAAAGAAGATGGGTTGCAGAATTCATAAGGGAGAATTGTTCCTCTACCAGAGATTTCATTTTCGCTAAAGCTGTGTCCCACATTGTTTCAACTTGCTCGGCTAACAGCAGGCCCCCAGCAGTCCTCAATACACGATCCTCCACTATGAAGTATCCAGCAATTTGAGCCAAAAAAGTTTGGTAGGATTCAACAAAAGGCTGTGCTGAAGAGATCTGCAAGTCCGAATTAAGCTGCAACAATCGATTTCTGTAGTAATATTCCCAAAACTGCTCTTGGATTCCAAGGCAACTTTGGATGTGATATGCCCTGTATAGAGGAGTCAAATCAACCTTCAAAATAGATTCTTCAACAATCTCTTCAACATCTAAAGTATATGCGAAATCTCCCAGCCCCGAAATATTCTGCTCCTCAACTACCCTTTGGAGTTCGAGAATTTCCTCAGCCTTCTGACGGGCAGATGCAGCATGGCCTATTGCGGTTTGTCCAATATCCTTTGCAGAACTCCTTATGTGAACCAGCCATTCATTGAATTGACTGGTTACTTTCTTCTCAATGTGCAATTTAATGATCGGAATTCTCTTCTCTATGACCATTCTTAGTGTCCTAACAGGAATATTCTGCAAGTAATTTTTCTCAATCAAATCCAAAGTCTTCAATGCCGGGTAAAACTGGCCTTCGGAAATGTGTTTATTAAACTTAACACAGAGCTCCAACACCTGTACACAGTTCTTGGACATTTTGATAGCTTCCGTCACATTCTTTTTTATTGAATAAGATTCAAGAAGCTCCTCGAGTTTAATCAGCAAAGCGCTCCCGACCTCTTGCAACTTGAAATTATCACTAGAGAGCTGGCCTTTGAGCTCTTCGGCGTCAACCAACACACCACGAAGCTCATCAACTGCAAGAATGAATTCCTCATAATGAGTCTTGCAGAGCTCCTCAATTTCGACTTCCTTCTTTTTTACAACATGCTTGAGCTGGTGGAGGAGTGATTCTGGCCTCCCCATCTCAAATGCATGCCGGACAATAGGACCGAGGTCATCTCCATTCCCAATCAATGTAGCAAGAACCAAGTCCTCACCAGTATCCCCATTCTCTGTAGGAATTCTTCTCCTCGCTTTTGACTCCATTATTCTGAAAGAAACAACAAAAAACAAACAAAACACTTTTAAATCAAATTACACACAACGAGAACAAAATTAACTAAAAATTTAAGCTGAACAAAACACACAAGCAAATTTATACCTTACTCATCCTAATTAAAACAGAACATAATCATTTCTCATAACCTAATACATACATATCCATAACAGATTAAGGGGATTACAATGCACATTCTTAGAAAAAATCCAGGTGGGTTGCCCGAAGAAGACGAAAATATTTGCCTATAACCCAATTAACCCTAATTAAGTTACCCATTTACTGCTCAGAAAAATAATCAGCAAAAAAGGAGAATTTGGGGGCGAAATGCACCTGAAAAAACAACAAAAAAAATCAATAAAAATGGAAACTTTTTCTTTTAATATGTTAGAGGAGCATTCTAAATCATACTAATATCGGCATTATTCACGCCTTCACAGCCTAAAAATGGTGGAAAATTGAAACATCAGTAAGAGAAAGCAAGATAAAAACAACCCAGAAAAGGAAACAAACCAAGAATTCAATCGATCAATTCAGAAAACAGAAGGAAAAAACATAGAACAAAAAACCCAGATGTATTTTCGACAAAATGTGAAAGCTTTGATTTTTAAAAGGGATACCTTACAGAGAGAAGCTGTTTATTTTCTTCTTCCTCCAAATCTAACGAGAAAATGCGATTATTCCAATGGAATTATTTGAAAAAAAAAAAACGAAAAGCCTTTACTTTTCCTGTTTCTGTTGTTTATTTTCTGTGTTTTCCATTTCGAAATGGATTATGCTTTTCTGCGTGCAATTATTCGAGCTGGGAATTTGGCATTCCGCAACAAAGTTTTTAACTTTTTTCATCTTTTTGCGATGCTGCCTATGCGAGTGAGGCGGAGGCCGGTGTCTTTCGTCCATGGAGATTTTCGCGCACTCGGTTTCTTATTGGCGAGTGAAGGAGAAGACGGGCCCACCCTTTCTGGGTCCCACTCCCATTTGAACAACCTCAATTCTCTGCTGGGTTCAAATGTTTATTTTACCCTTACACAAAAGTCAAAAAGATGAACAAGTACTACAATGTCATTTGACCGTTTCCATGCAGGTACTACATTTCCTCGTAGCAATATTTCCGTGAATCATTTTTTTCATTCCGTTTAGAAATGCTTTTAAAATGATTAAAAATATTTTTCTTAAAATTAATTTTAGGTTTCAAAAGCATTTTAAGTACTTTTTTAAAGAAGAATCAGATATGTGCTTCTTGCAAAAAAGATCTTCAAATGTTTTTCCAAGATCCACTTCGATTATTACTAAAGATTGACTTTAAAAACATTTTGACTAAAAACGTTTTCAGTCAACTTAAAAGCACTCTCCACACAAATAATTAAAAAGTATACACTACAACGTGAGATTCTGTATTTGAACTCTCCTCCTTTTATATGACTTTTCTTGAAAAAAGTTTGCTCTATTTTTTCATATGATCGTCTAATGATAATAACGTAAGTGATCTTAAAACCAACAATTAAAAATGAAACACTGATCTAAGAAGTGGTTCCAGACTAATCTGAAATCTTGGTCCCATGATCCTGACTTGGGTTGTTAATGCACACCCATATGCGTAAGTGTATTACAAAAGTGCACAAATGGGTGCAAGTGTAACAAGTCAAGAGAATAGTTCAACGATTGGCTTAGTGATTGTGTTCCGCTAAGGAATAAGGAGGTTTCATGCTGAAGAACAAGTCTCATATCGAAAAACTTCACAAGATAAGTTATAATTTATATTGAATAGTTTCACTTGTAATTGCATTGATGCCTTTTGCGATAACACATGGCGGGATGTCGGGTTATGCAACTAGTACAATTAGTAGAGCACTGGCCCAAGTGCTTCGCAAAAACATTTATATTATGGGATCGGCGTGAGCGCACTTTATCTATTCTCTAAGTCGGTGACTCCTCTTGTCTTGTTTTATTACAAAATGCTTAACATAATCTTAAAAGTTTTGGATAAACCTATATCCCAAAGTTTATGGAGCTTAATTATGCTTATGGCTAGATTACAAAATGGATGTGACATGGTTCGTCAAAAGTCATTAGCCACCAACCAAAGAAAACTAATGAGAGACCAATAGTTTATTCAAGTTTTAGTTGCATATGCCATCCACAAGCCATGGCTTAATTACCTCGTCAAACCCAACACCCACAACACACGTGTTTAGTATATTATCAATATACTAAAATTCAGTTCAAAAACCAATGTTCACCAGCAGTAAATGACGAAAATGGACCTCAACAAACTGCACGCCCCTGTTGTTTCTCCTCCTTGGCACAGTAAAATGACGCATTTGTCCATGTTGGCCATAAGTCCATCGTCATCCAAGCATCTGCTTCGATTACGACCTGGTTTGGTACTGAGGTGATTCTGAAAAAAGCTGGTATCAAAAAAAGCTGGGAGCTGTTTTTGTGTTTGGTAAACATTCAGCTTCAGTTTTTTTCACAGTTTTTGGTGAAAAAAGCCAAAAACAAGAAACTATAAAACCCAGCTTTGAAAAATTGGCTTTTTTTCACATCTGTTTTACATAAAAGTTTACCAAACACTATAATACTATTTTTTTTTCAAAAGCACTTTTACAAAAAAGTTTACCAAACACTCTGCTGCTTTATTTCACAGCCGCTTATTCTCACAGCACAGCAGAATCAGCTTTTTTTCAAAGCACAACAATACCAAACCAGCCCTACGTCTTCTCGATTTTTACTTCTGTTTCTACTTCTTTCTCACACAAATCTCTGCTTATGTTACTCTTGCACTTGTCTTTTGTCGCTCCCAAATCTAAGTTTCTTTCTCTAACAGAATGTATATTATATATTTATATGTACATATCATTACCTGATTTACTTTATTTAAGTTAATTACGAACGAGCTCTTGCTATATGTTGACAATGTCTCGCGATGAAATCATCATCCCATCCACGCTAATAATTCTTAGATTGTAAAAACTTGATACAGCGTTACGTTTTTATAATGATAGTTACAAATCTCACATCGATAAATTGACAAAATAAATGGCAATATATAATACCTATTTTTATTCTCAATACTACTTATTATACCTTTTGAATAATTGGAGTTACACATGCCTCGTCCATCATTATCCTCTAATATTATCAATACAAAAAATATACATAGAGGATTATGATGCCAACTAATCACGATTATGATTAATAAGTTTTCATTAGTCATTATTTTACTCATAATAATACAATCCACCTGGCACCTACTACCCCCTCCCCTTGCATGCTTAATGGAAACGAGCCAAAATAGACTATTTAATTTATCTCGTTGAAATGCTCATGAGATTAGCTCAAAACATTCCTGCCACGTGGTCAGTTTAACGTTAATCTTGAGGAGTGAGGATCCTTGCCGAATCATTCGGAAATCTTCCAATTATATTCGTTCATCCTATATCGTACGATCAGTTTTTGTCAAGTACTGTTTATATTTAATTTTAAATAAAAAAATTACAATGATTTTTGACCGCACGATGTACGATGAACGGATATGATTAGATGATCTATCGAGGATCCTCCTGGAATCTTAAGAAACCAAACGTGCCGTTCACGTGACATTTAAAAATTCTTATGTATGTTCAAGAAAATTGAAGCAATGTTCTTTCAACTTTAATCCAATTGAAGTAATAGGCTCAACTAAAAATTTGTGATCGTTGGTCCCTTAACTTATCAAAACGTACAAATATGATCATTTTTGTCAAATCCGTTATAACTTCCGTAGAAATGAGTCACGTATCATGCATGCAAGGCTAAATGAAGGAGCAATATGGGAAACTAAATGATAAAAATTGAAGAAATAGTCCTTCAACTTTAACTTAATTTGAGCAATGATCCATCAGCTTTAAAACAATTCTACCGATGGTACTTCCAACATCTCTTAATTTGACGGATGTTCTAACGAAATTAACAAAAAAACCTATAACTACACATTTTTATGAATCAAAAGAACACTAATCGCGGATTTAAAATTGGAGTCATAGCCACAATTTTCATTTAGATGCTTAGTGACTCCGAAATAGTATATCTTTATAATATCTGAAGTAGAATACTCGAGAAAGTGTCGTCAAAAATGAGAATTTTTTCATCCGATCCGAAGACTGAAAACCAAAAAAATGTGGGAGAAGTAAAAAAAGGGGTGTGTGGATATCACATCCTTTTTTTTATTGTAATCGGAATACGAGTGGTATACCACGTGTTTTTATAGAAGTGATAAATTTTTTTATTTTTTAAGTTATTAACTTTTTAACACATATATCGTATTATTTATATAATAATATATGATGTATTACTTTATGTACCGATCACACTGAATAATATCTAGTCAAAAATAAACGAATCAAAGGGCAAATGTGCATCCATGGTCCCCACTGACGACATGCAAGATAAGCACCACAAGTAAACCCGCCTACAATTCTACCCTAGTGCTTATCCTTTTATACCCTTTTGAGAATGGACACGCGTCAGCTCACTAAACGGGAAAGATAGCTACCTCAGCCTACCTTGTAGACTAAGCTCCGGCAATTACTCGGGTGGGAATAACCTCCTTACTCGCTCTCTACCTAATTTTCTCTTTTTTTTTTTTTTTAATCAAACAAGAGATTTGTTAAACGAGATGTTAAATTATGAGTTAGCAGAATTCGAATTTACACTGTAATACAAGAACAATACTACTCTTTAACACTGTGATAAAAAGTCACTTGCATCTCTACCTAATTTTCTCAATTATCTATTTTCCACAGCATTGGGATTTAGTGGAAGCTGAATAATGTTGAATTAATTAAAAATTAAATTTGATTGTTTTGTATTGCAAGTGTAGTCAATCACGTATGTATTAATAATAAATTATTGTTTTAATCACATGTCAATTGTAAGATAATTTTGATTGATTTTTCGTATACGTAAAAAATTACTGTTATAGTGTTTGTTCAAACGTTGTAAATGATCGTACCAAATATGTGAATTGATGTACACGTCAATAACATTTTATTAAAAACTGTTTATGTAAATTTGACTTATTATTCTAAACATATATTATTGTATGCTGAACTCAATTAGTATGCTTTAAATAGTTACTAAATTATATTTACCAAGTCACCATACACTTACGTTAACGTATACTTACTAGAGTTTTACTTAATTACTTGACTTATTATTTGTTTCGTTCACACAGAAGAAGAAGAAGACAAATAAAAAAGAGTGTTGAGTAGGTTTTAGTCATCACTAGAAAACAAATTGAGTTGTAGGAAGCAAATTAAGGGATCGAGATCATAGATTTCTTGAGAAAAATTCTTACGAAGTTTTGTCTTAGCATCTATAACGGCTTCCGATTTAGGCGGACGAAATATTCAATGTTTTTAGGTGTACAAATTGGTATAATTCAAAGATTCTAATTTCATTTTGTTCCATTCAAAGATTCTAATTATTTGACCATTTACTACCTAAGAAAATACTTTTCCTTTTACCAACGCGATATTAATCTTTAACTTAATATGTGAAGGAGAGATGCGAAATTGATTACACATACGAGTAACGCATCTGTTTTAACTAATATAACTACACAAGCATCTGATTGTTTACGAAAATGATTTCTCCATATTCGTTTTATTAGGTTTAAGATGATAGTAGACTATAGTCAATATACTATAAAAAAATTTGGAAAAAAATATATATACTATAAATTTTCTCTTGAAAATTTTCACACCATTTATCAAAAGTACTAGCAACTTCCCTCTTTTGGATATATATAGGACGAAAGAGTTACGAGAAATCTTTCAATATGCTCTAAATATAATGCGACACATAACATATTATCATAAATTTAGTAGTGGAAAGTTTTCTTTCCAGTGTTTCTCAAATTGCATAATTATATGCAGTATAACACTATTGGTTCAGTCACGCTGAAAAAAAATCTCTTGACCATTACAAAGAATAATCCCAATAGAATAATGCTATCCGGATAAAGTTTGTGACAAGTGCAAGGAACCTTGGACAAAAGCCAAATTATTGGACAGCTTGGTTTACTTGCACGAGTACGCTTTCCACATTCCATTCCTAGGCAGCCAAAGTCAAATGATTAACCAATCAGAGCCACGGGACGCAGACAAAACGACAAACACAATCAACCATAAAAGGAGCAACCCTCTCCGTTCAAACATTTCAAACGCCTTCATTTCCTTTCTACTCCTGTAACCCTAGAGCCTCATCCACCAGCAGCTTTGTCTTTGCGTCTTCGTGTCTTTGTCTTTTTTTTTTTCTTTTTTTTTTTGATTATTTTTCTGAGGGAGGTCCAAAAATGGAGGCAAAACGAAGCTCCGACCTTCCTCCTGGTTTTAGATTCCACCCAACTGATGAGGAGCTCATCGTTTTTTACCTAAAAAACCAAGCCTCCTCAAGGCCCTGCCCTGTGTCCATCATCCCAGAGGTTGATATTTACAAGTTTGACCCGTGGGAGTTGCCTGGTTAGTATCGTAATTTAGACGTCCAAAGCGGAGAAGGACTTACCTACACGCTCGGGATGTCACTATGACAGTGATGTCACCATGACAATATCTTAGCCCAATCGTGCGCACTGCATGCGAGAAAAGTTATATCATAGTTATATCGTGCGCGATTGGCTTAAGATACCATTGCAGTGACATCCCAAGCCTAGGCGAGTTTCTCTCGGCCAAAGGGGCCTTAAGAGAACTTGCTTACCCTGATTTTTTATTGATCGTAACTTGGTATTGTTTATGATGTTCAGAGAAGGCAGAGTTTGGAGAGAGCGAATGGTACTTCTTCACCCCGAGAGACCGAAAGTACCCGAACGGGGTGCGCCCGAATCGGGCAACCGTATCGGGTTACTGGAAAGCCACGGGAACAGACAAGGCGATTTACAGCGAGTCCAAGTACGTGGGGGTGAAGAAAGCTCTTGTGTTTTACCAGGGCAGGCCGCCAAAGGGGGTCAAGTCGGACTGGATTATGCACGAGTATCGCTTAAGCGACTCGCGAAAACAACAAGCCAACAAGCACCTCGGGTCCATGAGAGTAAGCCACTTTGTCATCGTTCAGTCAGGCATTTTAGCAAACACTTGACTGTAGACTGACAATCGCTTTGTATTTCGCTTTGTATTTGTTGAATTTTAGCTGGATGATTGGGTCCTCTGCAGGATCTACAAAAAAAAGCATCTGGGCAAAGCTTATCTGGATCAAAAAGTGGAAGAAGATCAAAAAATTGAGATGAAAACACCAGAAACGGCGAAAGCCAACGAGGAACAAGTGATGTTGAAATTTCCACGGGCCTGTTCGATAACTAGCTTACTGGACATGGACTACTTGGGCCCGATCTCCCAACTTTTTAGTGACAATAATTCTGGATACGATTTTCAGAACAGCATGGCCGGCGCAGGAGCCGGCCAGGCTCAAATGTTTCAGTTCGGGGAAACGCAGAATTACCAAAACACGATGGACTCCGGTAAATTCCAAGTGACGGCTCAGAATAGCGTTTTTGACCACCAACCGTGGTTTGGACCGTAATTAAACAATGAAAATCTGGGTGTTTTAGATGGGAAATTAAGGTGGTAAAAAGAATGTTGTAATAAAATGGTGGGTTGTGAGAGGAGTTGAATTATTTTAAACAAATTGTGAAATGGATTTGAGCTGTTTAATTTGAATTCTTACAAAGAAGATGATTTTGGGTAATTTTAAGGGAACTTTAACGAAAAGCTCCAGGAACTGTTTACTTTAATGAAAAATCACATATTTACACTAAAAAATCAATCACAGTACTATTCATTTTATCATTTATTTTATCCTTATCGTTAAAACTCAAAGGTTTCCTTAATTTTAATTTTTACCCATATTCTAAAGGAGCACCATTTATTTACATCATAAGTAATAAGTATAATTAAGATAGAAATTGACTTATTATATTGAAACCCCACATTTGTTGAATACATCTCACATACTTAATACACCCCCATTTGCTTTTTTAATTTAAACTTATCTTAATACACCCCCATTTACTTTCCTATAATATCCTCACACCCTACACTCTCACCATATAACTTACATTTTCTACATACATCCCACATTTGCTTTTTTAATTTAAACTTGTCTTAATACACCCCATTTACTTTCCTATAATATCCTCACACCATACACTTTGACCATATAACTTACATTTTCAACATACACCCCACATTCTTCAAATTTTGAGTGTAAATACATAAGGTCATCCAAAAGTGCCTTCGGTGTAAAGCTGAAGCTGGCGTGATTTCGATTTTTTTTAAAAAAAATTTTCTATTGGAATGGTGCCAACAATTGTTTGATTATTTGCATGTGTTTATCCCTTCATGTTTCTCTATCCCTTCCATGGAAAGCGGTGGAAGGCTGTGGGTATTTCGTACCAGTAGATGAGGAAGATGATTTTCGCAACAGTGGATGAGGAAGATAAAAATAAATAAATAAATATGGTAGCTATAGAAGTGTAGAGCTTTATATACAGTAGGAGCAGTGGCATTGGGCAATGGGGATTAAATAAATATTAGGGTTGATGATGATGATTCCTCTTATTTTCATTTGATTGAATCATGGGAATGGATTTAGTTATTGAATCATTGAATTAGAGGAAGAGATTAGATTGTTATGCTACTTTTAAAATCAAGGGATATTTGCGATCTAATGTGGCTAAGGTTTATTAGATGTGTGATTCTCATCATCAATCATATTTGTTTTTAATGGATATCATTCATAACGCATTTATATGCATGTCAATGTCGTTGAAATCACTAAAACAATGAAAATACGAAGTCTTACCTCATGTAAAGTTTTTGAAACGTTGATTTCACGTTTCATTCATCAAGAATAATTTTTTCAATTAACATGTTTGTAGTTTCATTAATTATATAGTGGAGGATGAGAGTAGTTTTGAGAGTTGAAGAAGATAAATAAACTTGGGATATACATGTGAAAAGTAATTTGGATTTTTTTTTTTAACCTTATAAGGTGGAAATTGTCATTAGATATTATGTATGTAAGTCATTTAATATTAAATTTTAATGAGATGTGTATTTAACATATTATGGGGTGCTAATAGAAAAAAAATCTAGAAATTAAGTATAATAATGATGGACAACAAACTCAAATCCTTTCACATATGAGAAATGCTGAGGAGACTCTTTCAAAGTGGAGCTCTTCATAAACTCTCTGTCACCTCAAAGTTTAACAGCAGTTTCCGTTATGTCATATTGTCAATATTATCGATTCGGTCCATAATTCAATTTTACAATTGTTGATAGCAAAACGATATATCCATTATTTTTTTTGTCTCTCACACACATTCAGGTTTCATTTTCACTATATATTTTTTTATTAATTTATTCAATTTAATAGTAAAAAAATAAAGAAAAATGTGTAAACTTTTTTATATATGTAAGCCACATACTAAACGCACGTTAACACACCCCGATTTGAATTATTTACTTAAATACTCAGATCAAAACATATTGATCGACATCTGAAAAGTAACAAAGCTATAAAATAATAGAAATAGGGAAAAGTACGAGTAAATTACAACTTGAATAATTAAAGTAAGAGTGGGTATCCGAGTGAGGTTGAAATTGTGGTTCATGATTTGTGGGGAGTTTGTGGTAGGGAAAGCAATGTGATTTGAGCACGTCTTCTCTCCGCTGCAGATCGAGGCTATGATGGCAAGGGGAGGGTGCAACTTTTGAGGTGGAAAGGGGTCTCCAAAATTTCTTTTTAGTGCGATTCTCTCCGAATCGTTTCAGCATTACATGATAATTCTACAGTTCTACTAATATCTCTGCAGTCGGACATATTGTGGAAGACACCAAGGTTCTGCTAAATGAGGTCACTAGAGCTTCATTTGCCCATACGCGCTGCCAAGCTAATGGTATCGCTTATCGTCTAGCTCAGCTTGCTCTCCAAATTTATGGTGTTGGGGCTTGGTTTGTTGAACCTCCCATGAGACACGGTTTAGTTTTAACACAAAATACTACTTGATCAGTTTGAGATACTGTAATAGTCGCGTTTGAGAAAAGATCTCTTCTTTCTCACCTCAAGCCATGAATTTTTGCGAGCCTTTATAATAATTAAAAATCATGGTCGGAAAGAATTAGGTTAAGGGCACAAAAGAGGTGAAACTGAGCATGTAAAGATTGTTAACAAAGCCGTAGCTAATTTCTCACTAATCCCCAAGTCCCAACCACTTAACTAGCTAATTAGCTATTTAAATCTTTAACTACTTCACTATAAAATCAACCCCCAAGCATTTCAACATTGCCCTCTGTGTGTGAGGCATCTGATCAAATGGAAGATCAAGAAAGTAACATTTTATTAGCTTTTTCTTCACAAGATGGAGTTTTCATGGTACTCTGCATGGTTTTGTCGTGGATATTCATCCACAGATGGAGCCAGAGGAACAAAAAAGGCCCCAAAACATGGCCTCTCGTCGGAGCAGCGATCGAACAGTTCACCAACTACGACAGAATGCACGATTGGCTCGTCAAGTACCTCTCGGAGTCAAACTCTGTCGTCGTCCCAATGCCATTCACAACTTACACTTACATTGCAGATCCTGCGAATGTAGAACATGTCCTCAAGACCAACTTTGCAAACTACCCTAAGGTGATATTTCTTCGGCGCCGTTACTAATTGTGTTGATTTGGTTGGTTCTTGTTTTTGTTTAATTTTGTGTTGATCTCCGGCGCGTTTTGTTAATTTTAAGGGTGAAGTGTATCGTTCGTACATGGAAGTACTGCTCGGAGATGGGATCTTCAATGTGGATGGAGAGCTTTGGAGGAAACAGAGAAAGACTGCAAGCTTTGAATTTGCGTCCAAGAATTTGAGGGATTTCAGCACTGTGGTTTTCAGAGATTACAGTCTCAAGCTCCATTCGATTCTCAGCCGAGCGTCTTTTCAAGGCCAACAAGTCGATATGCAGGTGGAAACACCTTCGTTACAGCGTCCGCATTGTTGTCGTCTTGATAGAGATGGTTTTACTTCGTTGGACGGTATCAGAAATGAATATATGTTCTTTGTGCAGGAACTGCTGATGAGGATGACTTTGGACTCCATCTGCAAGGTGGGATTTGGGGTGGAAATTGGAACTCTGGCTCCCAATCTGCCGGACAATCACTTTGCCAAGGCCTTTGACACTGCAAACATCATCGTGACGCTTCGATTTATCGATCCTCTGTGGAGAATAAAGAGATACTTGAATGTGGGATCAGAAGCTTTACTTGACAAGAGCATTAAAACCATTGATGATTTTACATACTCTGTTATTAGAAGAAGGAAAGCAGAGATCAAAGAAACTCAGCAGAGTTCTGAAAACAACAAGGTAACACAAAACGTTACTTTTTGTTTGCAGCATGAAGAAAACAGATTCATAATCCGATTAACCTAATTTGTGATCAGATGAAGCATGATTTACTGTCGAGATTCATCGAGTTAGGCAAAGACTCGGAAAGCGATTTAACTGACAAAAGCCTGAGAGACGTTGTTCTCAACTTTGTAATAGCCGGGCGGGACACAACAGCAACTACTCTCTCATGGGCCATATACATGGTAATGACTCACCCCCATGTAGCTGAGAAGCTCTATTCCGAGCTGAAAACTTTTGAAGAAGATCAGGCAAGAGAAGAGAAGGTTTCGTTGCACCCGTATGACACAGAGAACCTTGAATTATTCAATCGAAGAGTTGCGCAATTTGCAGGACTGCTGAGTTACGACTCGCTGGGGAAACTGTATTATTTGCATGCTGTTATTACAGAGACGCTTCGTCTGTACCCTGCAGTCCCTCAGGTGTGCATATTATCTAACTAAAACGTTGATGTCGATATTGTTGCTCTAAGTAATCTACACGGCTGCAGGATCCTAAGGGCATCTTGGAGGATGATGTTCTACCAGATGGAACCAAAGTCAAAGCAGGAGGAATGGTGACTTATGTTCCCTACTCGATGGGTAGAATGGAGTACAATTGGGGACCTGATGCAGCCTCGTTTAAGCCCGAGAGATGGCTCAAAGAGGGTTTCTTCCAAAATGCATCGCCGTTCAAGTTCACCGCATTTCAGGTTCGTTTACCCAGCAATCTTAGCCATATATTCATTCTAAAGTCCAGGTCATAAACATAAACACTCGATTACCTCTGATTTGCAGGCAGGACCAAGAATTTGCCTGGGGAAGGACTCTGCATACCTCCAAATGAAGATGGCCCTGGCCATTCTGTGCAGATTTTACACCTTCACTTTGGTCGCCGGGCATCCAGTTCAGTACCGGATGATGACAATTCTGTCAATGGCGCACGGCTTGAAGCTTACCATAGCCAGGCGCTAATCATCTGTGTCAAAGATAATTAAAAGCAGATTAAGAGTCTTATCATATATATCGAAGCTTTTTAGACACGCAACAGCCAAAAGGGAGAACTTAATTTTATTTGAATACATCATGTCGCAACTGACATAAATAGCTTCCCATTAAATGTCCTTCCCAAAAGTTCATGTGCTATATATATCTCAAAGCTTCCAAGTCACATGTTTACACTATATACCAGATAAAAACTTTCAAATTACTTTAACCACTCCCAGATATTACAGTGAAAGTAAATCCAATTACAGATTAGGATATCAGTTTCTTCTTCTTCTCTTGCCATTCACTGATTTCAGCATCAATCTTTGCCTGAACAATTGCTTGAAACCCGGGGTAGGGCTCGTAGCCGAAGAACATTTGCAGAGCCTGAAGCAACAAGAAAACACACAAATCATGATTATGCCAAATCAGAAAATTACCACAGAAATTAAAAAAAAAAAAAACCATCAAAATTACCTCCAACAGAACAAAGAAGGGAGCCATTATAAAGGCCTGTGCTAGATTGTCCAACAAAGCTGGTGCCCTTTTCTGCAGATTACATAACATTTCAAGAGTATAAATGCAACAAGAAAGATATGAAGTTACAAATAGAATTAGGAAAAATAAAAAAAATTTAATACCTCAAAGGCCCCATGGCCAATAAATTGTCCAGTCCAACACACAATCTGAGTCACAAGAACAACCTGAAAATTACTGAGGTCAAATTTACTGCTAAAGGAGCTATCAATTTATTGAATTCTAAAGAAAAATCTTCACAAAAAAAATTTCTAATTTCACAAAATAAACGAAACCATGATCAAATTTCTTGATAAAAAACTAAGAAAACTCCAAATTACTGAACTGCAAAGAAAAAAAAATTCAAAAAATAAGTACTAGTTCCACAAATAAACAAAACCAAGACCAAATATTTCATAAAAATTAATAACAACTCCAGAAATTACCTTCCAAGAGATGGAAAATCCGAGTAGGGTTCCAAGGAAACAGCTACCAACCCAACAAATTACACAGAGCAGAGCACCCAAGGAGCCAGCTTTTGCGTCCAAACAGATGTAGAACACCGAATAGATTATAGTCAACAGCAAGCCGATGTTGAAAGGAATAGCGACGTCGTTCCCAAACACCGAAACCGCAAAACCCAGCAGCGAGGGCGTGAAGTAGAAGATGAGCAGAAAGGTGAAAAGTATTGGCCAGACGAAGAGCATGTGAATCGCTATGTTGACTGGGTTGCTGTGGTAAGCTCCGTAGAAAGCAAAGTGCTTTTCGAGATCGAACAGGCCGGTCTTCCCCATTTGAAAATTTTCCCGAGAAAATTAGGACTTCTGTTGAGAATTTTCTCGGGAAAATTTTTATGGGTGAAGGGTGATGGCGATTTCTTTAGCTCGTTAAGAAGGAAAAGTAAGATGCTTTTTCGTATAACACAAAAAGGTTTGGGCTTTTGATGTTGTTAGATAAAATTGACCCGACCCGGCTATTCATTTGTAACATCATCTTAGGTTTGCGGTCACTTTTGTGTCACAGACGCGCAGTTACATCGTTGTCTGGTGGTTAGGGATCCGCTCATGATAATGTGTATTTACTTAAGGTTAAATCTTAGGTTCATGACATAACAATGATTTCATCAACTGAGTCTGTATAGTTGTGCGATCGTTATGCTAAAAAATTTCAGAATGTTATTTTCGTTTTTATTTTTTATTGATGTTCCACCCGATGAATTTAGAAATTGAATGAATTAAAAGATAATCAAAAGACAAAATAAAAAGAGAGTGCATAATAAAAAAGCAAGAGTGTGAAAGTCGTCACCAAACCTTTTCTTCTAATTTTGGTCGAATACTAAGAAGTTCAAGAGTACGGTTGACCGTGCCATCCCAATTCTACAACACAAAAATACATCTCACCATTCCCTGCATTCCAACCCTACCCTCTCCAATTTTTTATTGCGTGTTTTAACTAAACCATCACATGATTCAAGACGAGTATGCCTAAAACGAGGCCTGATACACAAAGTAACATAATACAAGTGGTTGAAATTTTTTTCAAAGATCCAATCACTTATTTTATTGTACTTCGTGTATCGGACTGTGCTAAAAAATCTCACCTAGTTTTGGCCTGTCTTTCGACCATATATAGCAAGATAATGAATGCCACGTGGCAAGAAGGTAAGGTCCATGTTGGATTAACGAGCAACACGGTCAGCCACAGAAACCTAGCCTGCAATCCACAAGTGAGTCCATCGCCATACTTTGATGAAAATTCGAACTTGTTCATATTTTCCCCAAAGCCATGGGCAGCTTCACGAACACCACCACATCCTTCCTCCAATTCCACATCGTCACCAAACCCCAAAATTTCCGTCACAAAATCTCACTGCCGGTAATCAGAGCATCCTTTCCAGGAGAAGAGCACGAACAAGAAAATAATGCCACGAGTCGAAGAAAAATTGTGACAACATTTTTGGTCACTACAATGGCACTTGGGGCACATCAACACGGGGTTGCCACACCGCTTGGACTAGCCGAAAATTGGGGCGTTCGTTCGTTTATAAGGGAACGTTTTTTCGAGCCTGGACTTTCGCCCGAAGATGCAGTGGCTAGGATTAGGCAGACTGCCGAAGGGCTACATAGCATGAGGGACATGTTGGAGGCCATGGCTTGGAGGTACGTCATATTTTACATTCGTCTAAAGTCTGCCTATCTTTCGCAAGACTTGAAAAATGCTGTGAATTTGGTGCCGGAAGCTCGCCGGAGTGAGTATGCTAAGACGGCCAATGAATTGGTGGATAACATGGCAGAGGTAATCTTCAATCGGTTTATCATCTTGCAATGTTGCCTACAAAAGTTTATCTTTCATCCGATTAATTACAATGTAATTACGTTTTTGCTGCAGCTTGATTATTATGTTCGAACGCCGAAGGTATATGAATCGTACTTGTACTACGAGAAGACATTGAAATCGATCGATGATTTGGTTGCACTATTGGCATAGTTCTAGTGGCTCGGGTTAATATTCTGAGTGGCTTGCATTAAAACCAAATATGTTTGGGTAAATAATAAATATAGAAGTGCATGAACTAATGCAATTTTCGTAGATTTGTGATTAGATTCATTTGGATTAGCTGTACAACTACATCATTGCAATTGAAAAAATAAATAAATCAAGATATTGCAGATTGTAAGATGCAAAACCGCTCCAAATTTATGATTTGTAAATGAAGAAGTGATCACTGACCAAATTTTTTTTTGAGATTAATAAAACTGTACATTCTAAATTTAACATGGTCACCAAAGTCAAAACTTAAGAACAGCCACCGCACAACCACCACCCGTAGCATACCGGCGACTCTACGTTATGGGTCATGTCTTGGAGAAACTCAGTCTGAATCCGGAGAATTATGTGGTTGTAGCACTTGTCGATTTGTCTTACAAATTGGCTTTCATCAAAGCAGGCCAAAACTCTATGAACACAAAGTCTCAGAGAGCGGTTTGGGTTGTGCCGCAGTTTGATGGACCATGTTAGCTTCGGATCAACGGATGATCTGGTTCCACTATTGGCCTAGTAGTAGGTGGGGTGACGTAATTAACCAAATATGTCTGGCTGTGTATGATTGATTAATCTTGCAGTTTTAGGAGATTTGTTTGTGCTTAAGATTCATTGCGGTGAGTGTTGGTTTTATTTAGCGCAAAAGAAAATTGTAATTAGATATCGTAAATATGGTTTAAAGTTTAATTAAATTTACACAAGATATATGTGATAATTACTAGAGCAAATCTTCCTATCACACACTTGCAAATTCATATTTGTATTCACACAAATAGATGGCATTCATCGCCAACAGTTGCTTACAGCACATCAACGTCGAGAAATTGCCGCGGATGACATGATGATTAGCAATACAAGTACAGTTATGGCGACGAAGGAGCCAATGAGAGACCCGGAAATGCGTTCACAGAAGCTGTTGAACTGCTGACAGAAAGCGAACCAGCTGGTGGAGGGGTTCCCGTAGTGCGCCAGGTACACTATGGCTGTAGCAGCTGAAGCTCCGGCAGTTACAAGTCCCATCATCACCTTCACAACATTTGAATTTACTTATTAACCAAAGTAGCATTTAAAATTTGACAAAAGTTAAATGTTTGAGCAAAATAATAAGCTTAGGCAGCTTAAAGACTAATTTGTTACGGAAAGTGATTTCAACATGTCATTTCTCTCCTCTTTACTCTTTTGTTTTTTTTTTTCTGTCCTTTAGATTGAATAAAAGCTGAATCAATGGACATAAATAAACCGAGGAGTACAGCAGGAGAAAGGCGACTGCAGAAATCACTTCCCTTTAGTTAGCAATGATTTCCACGTCTTTTACCATGTCGGAGATGATCAAGATGATCCTACTGTTTACTGCTGCAGTCCAGATGATATGGACAATAGATACAGGAAGGGAAAGCACAAGGTAGACGCATACGATAGAATTGGTAATCACAAAGAACCTGCATGTGATATGAACACATGCTCAAAGTTTGAGCATTTTATCTTCGGAAAAAAAGAAAATAGTACAATTATTTTCGCGAAAACGAAAGATTCTTACGTTAACGTGGGAAGATCCTTGTACCGAGCCCTGAAGCGAACTGACCGCGCAGTGAAGGGAAGTGTTTCCCTGCTAGTTCCCATAGCTATGGCACTGGCTAATGTTCCGAGGACTGCAACGACTCGAAGAGTAAAGTCTAGGACAGAGAGCAATTTCCTCACCTTGATTTTTGGGATCGGTTTCGATGCTTCCGTAGCCTCAACAACTGGTCCTCCTCCCGCCTTCATTTTTTTTTCTCCTCAGTTCTTTTCTTTGAAGCTGAGCTCTACAGTGGTTGGTTCCGATCTGGAGTGACAGGGGAAGGCAAGCTTTTGTACTAATGTGCATGTTGGAGTTCAATCCTATGTGTAAACCTCTGATAGGCTGCAATATATATTATTCTATCTTTACCCGCAGCACTTGCTGTGCATATATAATTCTGAACCATGAGGATGTTTCCAACCCTAGAAATTCTGGTGACGCGTCCAGGTAATAGAAAAATGGCCAATGAAGATTATGAAGTCATCTGGAAATTCTGTGGAGAATGTTGTCACTGTGTAAGTGGGTTTGGTGCTTGGGTTCCCAGCATGTTTTTTTTTTTTTTTTTTTTTTTTTTCCAGTGACAAAGCGGTTTTAACTATTCTTATTTTTTCGGAATAAGAGGTTACAACATTGAGTGTAACAAGACGGACACACTACCTTAATCAACTGATTTAACCAGATCTGAGGCGTGACAAATAAGTTCATATACAAACACAAAGAAATTGTTAAAATAATCAAAAAGTAAAAACCATGGCATCATTTGTCATAAAACACTCCAGCTAGTATATTTAATCAAAATTATGGTACTAATTAATAATTACAACCCCAGACCGAACGGGGATTAGTGAAACAGATTGCGAAAACTTACTTACTGTCATGGCATGTTGAATCTTGGCCTCTCCCCTCGCCATTTTTGTATATCATCATGGAGATCTAACATGTAAACATGAGACAGACATGTAGCCAGGGACAACTTGCCGGTAATCTCCTGTCAAAACACACCTACTTCTTCCTAAATGCCACTAATCCACGATGTAACGCTGGTGTTCGTAGCTAAACAAATCGTAACCTATGATCTGAACTAATTTTCTTTATCGTACGTTATACCCCGAAGGGCCAATTTTATTTGATGAACATATTATGTACCTGTAAATAACAGAAGAAGAAGAGAAGTTGGTTGCTTCCGGCAAGTCATCCTTGGCTGCAGCACACATTATTATCTCATGTTTGCATGCAAGACTTCAGATGAATATTCATAACTTGCAGTTGTCTGTGTGAATGGTTGGAAGAAGGAAAGAAAGGGAAATGTATATCTGTTGATGTCGAGCCAAATTATGCAAAGACGTAGTTACGGTTTTCTTTAGACAATTCGATATTCTAAACTGCTATGGTCGACAGTCATGAGATTGGTATTCTTTGCTCCATACTCTTACTTATAAGCAAAGCTTTTTCTTGGAAACAGAATCTTATCATCACTTGCCAAAAATCATGTCTGGATAATTAAGCCCATAAAGATTATGGGAAGCAATGCCTGTCGATCATCGGAAAAAGATGTTTTGCACATGATGGGTGTCTCTTTTGTGATGTAATGGCATATGGGGCAATGCATAGAATGATGAAAATGGTTATGGGGCGTGACACGGACTACCTAACTGGTAATTATAATCTCCTTTTCTTTTTCACCTTTGGGTACCTTGATGGAGTAGAAATTAATACCACCGACGTCCGATTTTAGGAGTAAGATTTTCTCCTCTTCTAATCTCACTCTCCTTCTCTTACCCATGATTAAACCATCAACTTGTGACTTCTTTATAGAGAAAGAAAGACAATGAAAAAAGTGTGAGAAGAGGAGACTTTCTCAAAGTGAAACTCTTCATGGATTCTTTGCCACCTCATAATTTAACATTAATTCCCGTAACAACGTTATTAAACAACACGAGATGACAGAATGTTCATGGAGAGTCTCATTTTTTAGAAAGTCTCTGAAGCGTTTTTCTTAATACCAAACATTGTTTTACCCTATAGAGTTTGAACTTCACCACTTCATTCCCTGTGCGCACTCAAATTTCAACCAAATGTATTTTGATTTATCGATATTTCTCTTCTCAAAAGACGTCCCGAGTTCAAACTCCTCCAGAGAAAAGTTAAAAATAAAAAAGAAAAATAAAAAAGCAGATATGGATTTGAGGCCGAGGTTGATGAAAATAAAGGCCCAAAGGGCACAGAATTGAACCCGGTCCAATTGAAAACAAAGGCCTCAATTCTCACACGCCCAAAAGAGTGCCACTCGCTCTTACCCGCTCTTAAGATTCGAGACAATGTGCCGCGTACAGCGTATTCTCTAGGCTTGCCTTCTTCTCCGGAGAGCCTCTGCTGCTGCTGCTTCCGCGATCGGATCCGATCCTTGATTAGGTAATCTTCCAACCCTTTCGCTTCAATTCTGCTATTTCCCAGTTCAGAAATCTCGATATTTATCATTCAAAACTATTAGATTTCTGCTGCAAATCAAGCAACTTAGCTGCCCAGTAGCAAACTCACTGATATCTCTAATCCGGGTTCTTCCAAAAGTCCATGTTCCAATTGGTTTTTGCTCTGATTTTTTTATGATTACCCCTAATGGGAACCGTATTTACAGTTTTTGCCATATTTTCAGCTCTTCTTTCACCATTTGAAGCTTCTTGCATGTTATATGAGTTTGGATTCGTGTTGTTTTTCTTCTTCTTTTTGTTGTTTTTGTTGGTGCCTTTGTGCGTGCGGAAAGATTTGCTTTGAATTGTTTTGCTGCAAAGATTTGACTTTCTTTGTTACCATAGTTCTATGTCATCTTCAAGATGCTGATCCGAGCCATTTCGGCTAAGGGTTAAATAGGGAAGTTGAACTTCGCTGCTCTTGTAACCGGAGTTTTATCTTCAATGTTGGGTATTTGGTAGGGCATGTTGAAAGGCTGCATCTTCGGTGATGCGCCGGGAGAGTGGTTTAATGGAATTAGTGCGGTTACTTCAATGTGTTTTCATGGCATCATACATTTATCAACATAGTCATAGTGATATTTCTGTGATTTGATGGATAGAGTTGCACCAATGAATAGGTTGATCTTATTATAAGTAATTGTTGTATGAGATTTTAAAAAACGGAAGGAACTGGTTCGCTTATTTGGAATTCCCAAGGAAATGGCTACATTTGTTTACGTCTGTTATGATTGGGTGAAGGAGTCTTTTGTTTTTGCAGTTGTCGCCAGCACCCTGAGCAAAATATGTCCGGTACAAACATGGATGAGGTTAAGGAGCAAGAGGTTGCTGATAGCACTCCTATGGATCTAGGTGATGGTGACAATACCGGGGAAGACCAAAAAGCTTCAAATGAAAATCATGGAAATCCCATGCCTTCAGCCCAACAGGAGGTGCAACTCTGCTCTACAATTTAGTTCCGAAAATTTTTGAAATGTCCTACCTATTGCCCTGTTGTCTATTAGTACAGATTGTTTCCTTTGCATTGATATTCTCTTTTTGTTTCAAACTTTCCCAAAGTCTTAAACTTTCAGTTATCATATGAAGTTATGCAGTAGGATCATTGTCTATGATTCTGTCTTCTGCAGGAGGCAGCAATTAAGAAAAAGTATGGAGGCATACTACCAAAGAAGACTCCCCTAATATCCAAGGTAATTGTTGGTCTTGTATCCTTTTTTTCTTCTTATCTCCCCACTGTCCGATGTTGCTATTCTAGTTTTTGCTTTATCAAGATAAAAGTTACAAACAAACAAGTTCAAATTTTATGTCAGGACCATGAGCGCGCTTATTTTGATTCTGCTGATTGGGCATTGGGAAAGGTACTCGTGGTTGTGGATTTTCTTAAACTGCAGTTGCTATGACACTTTTAAATGACTAATCTCTTTGCCTATCTTTGGTTCTTTTCACTTCTTCAACAGCAAGGAGCAAAGCCAAAAGGGCCACTTGAAGCACTCCGCCCAAAGCTGCAGGTATGTTCGATGATATCATCCTGATTTTCTTACCTCAAGATGGGTGTTAGTTCAAAGATTGGCCAACACCAATTGAAAACTAAAAACCGTATATGCTGATTCTGCTCTGCTCCTGCCAATTTTTGCTATACATCAAGTTAGTTTGTTTGCATTTGTGGTGGTTTTAATCTCTTATTTGATCTTTTTTGTTGTCATCAGCCCACACCACACCAGCAGGGGCGTTCAAGGCGCTCAGCTTATTCTCGTGGAGGCGAAGGTGATGGTATGTGCAATCAATCACCAGTAAACTTCTTCTACATGTTAAACACCTCTTCAACACTGGAACTCTTTTTTCTTTTCCATATGGCAGATGGCGGAAATATGAACATTTCCTCGGAGGATCAACTAGATAGTGGCAGCGGTAACAACACTGGCTATGAGGATCAGACCCACCACCACGAGTAGCTGCTGCCTGCTGCATTTTCGCAAATTAGAAGCTGAGCATTCTGTCATTACTAAAGTACCAGAGCGAATAACGTGAACAATGCCAGATTTTTGTACTGGTTGTAACGTGTAACATGAATCGTTTACACACTGATGAACACATGACATTCATTTACTTAAAAATTGCATGTTTGACATATACATTATACACTGCAGGCAGAATTCTAACTGTTTATGGCGCTATTTTAACTGTTAAAACAAGCAAAAAGTAGTAAGATTAAACGACATTGGTTATACCATAGTTAGCCAAGAAAACATTGCGCCACGTGGCCTAATCACATCGCGTTCCGATCCTTCTCCGACCTGAGTCAACTCGGATTCTTCAACCGCTGGGTCACTGGCGCTTCGTCAGCAGCGGATATGTTTGTGCAGAGGACGGCGCTTCATTGAAGCAGCAGTGGCGACATCGTGATTCCCAATTTGGCCGCCATGGCTTCCAATTTGAAGGGTGTTTTCGGCTAACATGGTTAGATGGGTATACGTTGATGAATGCATGGGCCATGTTAGAAAAAGTTCACCCTCCAAGTCCAGACCGGTGCGAGGAGTTTTATGCATCGGTTTTGAATACCTCCATGAAGTCTTATGATGACGAGGTTAATGATTATAAACTTAAGTTAACAAATGTTAATAGTTTTGATCTCATTTTCGACTACAGGCTTGTTTGAGACTGCTTCTAGATAGATTAAAAGCGTTTCTCTCTTGTGTCAATTAAAAGCATTTCTGACTACATTTGACAAAAATACTAAAATGTTTTTGAGTCACATAAGCGGATTTAGAGAAGCATATGCTCTTGAAGAATACTTCAACTTTTCAGTTAGCACTTCAATTTTCAGTGAAGTATCAATGTGCTTTTAATGACACCTCTAGCAGAAGCTATTTTGAGCAAAAATGCTTTCATACAAAAGCACTTCCTATCCAAACTGGCCAAAGTTTGAGATTAGCGTAGGGATGTTTTAACTGCGATATCATTTGATGGTTAAGATTGCAGGTTACAAGGCAGAGCTCCTTGCTGAACTGAAAGGAAAAGCTGAGCAAGTGTTGGAAATTGGTATTGGGACTGGTCCTAATCTGAGATACTACGCTGCTGATAGTGGTGTTCGGCAGGGGTTTTTGGCGTGGATCCGAATATAAAGATGGAAAATTATGCTCGGGCTGCTGCTGTGGCTGCCTGTCTGCCCCTTCGAATTTTGAGTTTATACAAGCAGTGTGTGAAAACTTCAAACTTCCCTTATGGCATAGCAGAAAAAACCGAAACTGGTTAGCAATAAAACTATTTTCCAATGCATAATTTCTTGTTAAGATGATCACTGGCTAAAGGAACCTAGTAAGATGCAAGTTTTTATTTTTTTGAGCTGCTTTGTTTACCTGTGATTAAATTTTGTTTTTCAAGTTTTCGTTTGCATTTGCAATTGTGTTTGCGTTTTGTTTGTGATGCAAGAAAGTTCTGTTTTTCATAGCCGGGAAATGCTAATCTTAACAGGTTGGGGAGGCTATTCCCATTAGACGATGCTTCAGTTGATGCAGTTGTTGGAACTCTTGTGTTGTGTTCTGTTAAAGATGTCGATAACACTCTGAAAGGTAATTTAGCTTACGAGGGGCACAATTTCCTTTTCGTACGCTTGCAGCACGAGGTAATTGTCGTCTAAGGGTTACTACTTGTGATTGTAGATGCCTTTGCTTTCTAAGTTGATCGTTTGGGAAGCATCCGTTTTATTTCTTTAGCTTTCGAAAAAACTGCTCCTTCTCGCTGTCAAATGATGATGTGAAATGCGCGTTCGTTTCTCACACAAAGTAACTTCCGCAGTCTGCAGACCGTGTTAATCTAAAATCCGAATTATTAACAAGTTCATTTGTCCTGTAACCTTCAGATATAAAAGGGAGTTATAAGACCAGGCGGACGTTACCTGTTCGTGGAGCATGTGGCTGCAAAAGGTCGTGTGAGCTGGAAATCTTAAGAGTATTGTGATTTATCATTTTGTTTGCAGCTGTATGGTGCTGCTGCAGATGGTACAATCCTTAGATTCATACACAATGTTCTTGATCCTCTGCAACAAACCCTAGCTGATGGGTGTCGTCTCACCTGGGAAACGAGAAGCAAACACAATTGCGACCACCTTGTCCAAATCCGGGTTCTCGGAAATTAACCTTCACACGACCACCTTGTCCAGTGCCTCAATTATAAACCCTCAAGTGTATGGAATAGCTTGCAAGTGACAACGTAAGGTTATTGGTCTCAACACGTAACGCGAGAGAGAACAAAAAAAAGTGAGTGCATGAACCTGCATGCGATGGCTAAATTTTCTTCTATGCATTATCATTCGGCTTGTGGGCCTCAAGGTTCTTGCTTGTTGCTGAAGGGAAGTTGAACTAACAATTGCATAATTCCTGATGAATTAGCAATTAGCGTAATCTGTTTGTTACACCTATAAGCTATAATAATGTGTGATTATCAACTTAAATGAAAAGGGATCCCATAAATAATGGTCATTTATTAGAGAAATTTTTGTGTATCAGACCGTGTTCCTGACACACTGAAAAAGCTCTCCAATTATCTAAGCTCAAAAGGCAATTTGTGCAATAAAGGAGTATAATTTGGACCGAGAACGAGCCACAAGTGCCATATTATAATTACCTTATGGCCGGGAGGTCCACTTGATATCCAAAAAATGTTGATGGAGAATGTTGGCTAGATAAGACGTTTCATAGCGGGTCGAAAATTGAGTTTGATTCTAATTAATAGGACGAACTCTTACAGTGCACCAAAAACTTTAGGTACATAGAAATGGTTCCAATTTATGAGTTAAATTATTTAATTTGATACTCACATGAGTCACTGTAAAATGTCGTGTAGGAAGCGTGGTTATGAAACAATTGTGGTCACTACAACCTCAATGCAAGGAATTTGGCAACTTCACTTGGGCCTCAAGAGTAAATCCATATGTTCCAACTTCTCCTATTCTTTTTAACGTAACCATGAAATAAATAAATAGACATATGATTTTTTAATCCTACAAGAATAAAACAAATTCTATAACTTAGAAAATCATCAGCCAAATTAAATATATATTATCCTGCTTAGGTTGGTCCCATAATGTGTGGTGTGTATATATATCTCTCTTGTCTAATTTAATATGCAATCTTTTTAGCTTCTTTCAATCTTATACAATTTAATATATAATCCAATTATGGGCATGGACAATTAAAATAAATGTAAAGAAAGTAAGTTGAAAAAGAAGAAAAAAAATTAATGACAAATTTTTCGTACAAAAAAACAACAACAATGATCATATCTTATTACACTAAGTAAGATCAGCTGTATAAATCTTAAAATGTTACTGCGTTCGATTTTGCACTGTCTTTCGTTGTCAGTTCTAAACAGTTTATATCTTTTCTTTTTAAATTATGAGAAAATTGGAAGAATAATTATGAGTCATGTCATGCAACATAAAAAAAACCAATCTTTGCCACCTATACAAAATTGTTAATTAAACTGCACCCAAAAGAGAAGGCAATTGATTAAGGGTTTTGATAAAGTTTAATGGTGATTACATAAAATTATGCAAAAAGGGAGGATCTTAATGCAAAAAGGTCCACTAAACATGCTCCTCCTTTTTCTCCCCAAATATATTTAGGGTTTTCCATTTCTTCCTCAGTTGACGACCAGTCTCGCCTAGGTCACGGCTCTGACTCAGAGAGTTTCTTCTCGTGCTTCTTCACCGTCGCCTAATTGTAAGCTCCTGTCTCTCTCACTTTCTCGATTTACATTTCAGGGATTCAAAAATACTCAATTGTTTATATCCAATTTCTAGGGTTTTCCACTGATTTCAGCTCCCAAATGCGCGTTCCATCTGTCTTTTTTTCTTCACTGTAATTTCTGGATGTGTTTTTGGTGTTTCGAAGACTAAATTTTTGGTCTTTTGAAAATTTTTTTTACTGAGATTTTTGTTGAATATTCTATAAATATGAAAAAAATGCACTTTCCGAAAGACTTGAAATTTGAGTTAACTTGGGTCGTTATCAAAATACCCTTTTGAAATAGGTGGTAAAAGTCACTGGATTTGTCAAATTTATGTAATTTTCGGCTCTTTGCAGTTGTTAGTAGTTATCTCTATGCATTTCATTGTTTTTGTTTTAATAGCTGATATATGGTAGTGGTGATGGATTAGTTTGTTGTTGAGTATTTGCATTCTGATGTTTTATTTTGTTGAAAGCTTGAAGCGAATTGCGTATTCGGTGTTTGAACAGAGCCTTGTCTGAGTTCTTCTGACTTAACTTTGTTCGTAGGGTTTGCCACTATGACCGTTGAAGAATTTTGAAAGTTTTCTGCTTTGCTGAAAAAGTTTGGGGGTGTTAGCAGCATACTTATATTATGTCTGGTTAATGTGGAAGGAACTCTGATCCTATTTATACTTGAGTTTACCCGTTTTACGTGTGAAGTTCATAAGGTCATAGAAAACCCTTGAGTACAGCATTAGTAAGGTCAGACGTTGCCTAGTACATCGTAGTATGATGTGTTGTACCATGAGCCTTTGATAAGTGACACTTGGCATAAATGAGCATAACTTGTTTCTGTTATGACGAATTCTTGTGAGTAATGTAAATTAATGAGCTGAGCTTCAGGAAGCTTAGTAGCAAACAGAATCAATCTTCTTGTGTCTTATAAAAAATAGCTAAAACGGGGTCGCTGTGTTGTGTGGCCGCAAGGCCACATGAATCACATACTGCCAGTAGGGACTGGTCAATGGGTCCAGCAGAGCCATGCTGGCGAACTAATACCAGCTTCTCACCACCCCCATCAAGATGGGATTTCCGTTTCCAACCTGAAGAATTACAATATGGTTTTCATGATGGTATTCAGCAATATGGGTCTTCTACTTCATCAAACAGTAAAGGAAGTAGGGGCTGGGTAAGAGGCAACAATCTCTACAATCACCACTACTCAGCTTCTGATGGTGCTGGGCTGTTTTTAAGTGGTTCATCTGACCTTTCTCAAGGTCCTCAATGGACACCTCCAGCAATACAGGAAATCAGTGTAGATGATTATGAAACTGCAAAAAGGAGAGGTAATACAATTGATGATGAATCTTTATTCTGTTATATTTGTGCAAACACACACATTATGACATCTGAGATGAATTTCTACTTCTTGGCTTTAAATCTGGCGACAGAAAGTGCAGATGAGTAATGTTTGGTAACCTCAATGATTAAGATATTTCTCGGATTCCATATATTTTTCCAGTTCATTTAGTTGGATTGAACTGGACCATAGTACCATTTTATGCCTGTTAATGATCTTACAATGTATCAATGAATTTGTGCAAAGTATCTGCATGATTATTGTTTATAGTTTTGAGTTACACATCTGCATATGCAGCTACTCCACAATTTGAGTGTATGTAACAGTCTCGTGAAAAATATTATTACATATATAGTACCCGTTAACATCTGTGTGCATGTGTGTACCGTGAAGGTGTCACAAAAAGCTAAGCCATCTGAATTAGGTGATCTGATAGATGATTCTTACTAACTATCCTACGTATATGTCCCATTTGGTTATTATAGATCATCTGTTGGACACTTCTATAATGATAACTAGTGTCATGCTTGACTACTTCTACTTAACAACTTAAAATGCATCTTGTTCTTCTCGATCATGTAGGGTGCTAGTGATAAAGAATTTTTGGAGCTTATTGTATCTGATCTGGAATTCCATTCGTTTCAAGATCATTTCTATGAGTTAGTAAACTTGGATGTGGACCTTTGTTGTGCCCATTAGATTCCCAGGTACCGGATTGCAGATGATCACAAGTTCAATTGACATTTCGTACTTTTGAGATTCTTGATAGAGTATCCTCGGGGATTTTCAAAGTTTCCATTTTGAAGGATTTGGTTATATCATTTGAAGTGTAGCCCTGATTGAGTTCTTGCCATTGCCATTGATTATAACAAACCATGCTTAAACAATTTCCATGATTGATCATTAATCAGGTCATTTCAGCTTTGTAAAAATAGAGAACTGAAAATATATACTTATTAAGGACTTTCATTAAGATTGTCATTGTTTGGTAATATTCATGTTGTAACTCATTTTGTTTTAACTTCACTCCTACTTGCTAGGTGTGGCTTTGGGGCATACATCCTTTAGACCTACCATGGAGGTATTGTATGAGATTTTAACTTTCCTAGTTTATCAGATTAAGGAAATTTGTTTAGCGTTTCCTTTTATGGTATCTTTGCAGGGAACCTCAGAAATCCAAGACATGGGGGGCTCCACCTCATCCCGTTCAGACAGTGGCGAGTCTGAACCCACTGTCAAGCCGTACCTATCTTCTCATCATACATATGCAAGTCGGTGTTCGTTCATGTCCAAACCTATTCATCCCTTGTCCTTTCCTGCACAAACTTCCCCCAGAGAGTCTTCTGATCTCACAGTTGCTGGGTTTCCAGAGTATGATTCTGCTACTCCTCAAAGAGATGGCCACCGCTGGAGTAGTGCCAGTAGCAGCATTGATTTTGCAGATGTTTCTGAGTCATTTGAGGCAGAGGTTTCTGGTCGACCTTGTAATAATGTATCTGATGGTTTTAGATGTGGCATGTGTGAAAGGTTTCTTTCACAGAGATCACCTTGGAGTTCTCGTCGGATAGTGAGAAGTGGAGATATGCCAGTTACCGGGGTTCTTTCTTGCTCTCATGTTTTCCATGCAGAATGCTTGGAGCAAACAACACCCAAGACACGAAAAAGCGACCCTCCCTGTCCCCTATGTGCCAAATTTGAGGAAGAAAATCTCCAAGAGCAGCAAGGCTTCTCAAGATTGCGGGCTGGTTTTCCAAGGCTTAGACCAATTAGTGATGATGGGCCATCCAGGCCTTGGGGCTGTGCACAGGTGGGAGATTGCGTTGAAGGGGCTTTGCATGCTCCCCCGCGCAATAGTATGCTGTTGCTTAACAGGAGTCGCATAAAGAAAAATCTTTCTTTGAAAGGTAATTTGGGCAAAGAGTTTCCAGGTAAGCTAAGAAAAATTGGTTCTCACTCTTTGCAGCATTTGAGTGGAAAATCAGTCGACCAGGGAGCAGTTGGAAGCTCAAAATCAAAGATGACAGCAGGCCCGAGTTTTAAAAACTGAAGAAAACACATAGCTAACTGGAAGTTTGGAGTCCGAAATTTTTCTCAATAGGCGATCGTTGAAGTCTGCTAATTGGTTGGAAGTCTCAATAGATCGTTATATATCAACCGTGATTTGCAAAACCTATCGCCTTGTATAGATTCGATCTTGTGCAAATTGTGTTGGAAACCCTTTTTGGAAGTAGACAACTGCAGTGTTTAACGTTGTTATTGTGCCTCTCTATTTTGGTTGTGAATGATTTTTCTTCCCCTTGTGGAAATGAATATCTGATTTTGTCTGAAGACTAAAGAGTCCTGTGTTGCACATTTCGCTCGCTCGGTCGACTCAATCTCTGTGTAGACGTGTCATGTCAACCATCTGGCAAAATATTGTTACATTATCATTTACTTTTTTTACTTTTTTATTTATTTATTTAGACTTTTAGTGACAAACCCATCGACATGATTTTTGACACTTACGTATTGAAATGTCAATAACAAACACCAGTAATATGGACAAAATGTTGATATTAAATAAACGGCTACGTGGTCAAGCAACATGAATCTTGTTTGATATTTGAGAAGCTTTTTATTCACTTGGCATGGTAGACATATTAGCCGCTGTCACAGATTACAGACAAGAACAAAGATAATGGAAAAAAAAAAAAAAAAATTGGATTAAGTTGTGTGGGGAGTGCAACGTAACATATTAACATGCACATATTAATACAGACAATTTCACTATCAAATATTGGTCCTCTACATATCCTGCAATTTGCATGCGTATATCGAAGGGATCTAACATGTTGCTGCAAAAACTTTATCATATCCTTGTTGTTCTGGGCCAGATTTCTTTTCAGGGATCGGATTTCTTGGACCATCTCGTGTAATTACTAAGATGTGAGTGTAAAGTTCACCCTCCACCACAAAAAGTGTTTATAATTAGAGTGTATTATAATTTACCCAAGTGAGAACAATTTTCCTGAATTCAAATCTTCTCTGGCTCTCGCAGTCCCAGTTCAAGAGAGGGAGAGAGAGAGAGAGACACGGATCCTTGATTTGTGAGGTGAGTCAGTGAATAGGCTTAGGAGGACCATAGAATTCAAAATGAGCAATCCAGAGTTTTCGATCGATCGGCTCCGAATTAAGAGATCCGGAGAGAATCTCGATACACTTTTCCCATTGAAATTTTTTACCAATGGAAATGGGGTTAGTGGAGTATTTTCTGCGGGGACCATCATCTTCTCCTTCCCCACAATCATGTGCGGAGCCGGGTTTGCCCCAGACAAATGCACATCCTGCATTTGTAAGATGCCACCATGCCCAGATGTTCTGTTCTTTTCTTCAAACCATCAACTATCACTATTTCTGCAACTGGGCCATGTTTGAACATCACAAATGGAACTTTCACCCACTAGCCTATTGTATTTGTAGCCATGTTATGGTCCCTTTCCTTGTCACAATCAGATTAAAAGCCCTAATTACTCCTACAAAGATTTGAGATAGTATTGCGATTGTGACTAGATTATAGGCCCATAGGCTAAGTATTTAGGTTTTATATGATAATACGATATTCTCAACCATTCTAATCTACGAAGTTGATGATCTGAAATTAAGAGCGAATGAGAGACGCACACTGTATTAACTAACTGACCTAATTAACCACTTAATGTTTTTATTTTACAGTATGATATTTTAAATCATTATAATTTACGATGTGAGTAACTTAAACTCCAGTGAATGAGATAAAATACTACCTTAATCCATTGACATAACTCACACATGCTTTTGAATTCGCTTTCCTAATGGGAGTGATAAAGTTTTGAACTTGTCAAAGAATGTACAATTTGAAACAAAAGATCGAAGCATATCTTTAATTTCCTTTTGGAAAAGGGAAAACCCTTCACCCTTTGTTTCATGCCATCTCTCTAAATTTGTGGGAGCATCTAGTCATGTTTAAATCTAGTAATTATCGTAACAATTATCATTTCGCAGCCGACAATAGTAATGTGATGTCCCAATTCAATTGATTTGATTAGCTTAATGAATGAAAATATTAACCAAGCTCATCATGCATGATGCAAATATTTATCGATCCTATACGACCATTGTGTCTCTTTCTTTTTTTTTCTTTTGAACGACTTTATAAATTACAAATCGTTGTTTTTTTTTTTTTTTGGCAAAGTCAAATTCAGTTGGCGCTCAAACTGAATGGAATAAGGGTTTAAGAAGAAAATAATTTTTTATGACAAAAGATTAGGGTTTTGCTCCTTTATGTATTTTTGTAATGAAGTTTTACTCCCTTAAGGTGAGCTGCATGTGAAGAGGGGGAGGGAAGGGGCCCATTACAGACCAAGCGTGCATGAAGAACTTTATCAGTTGAGAGTTGAGGAGGAACTCCTCCAACATGCTGGCCTCTTTCATGTGGGATTGTTTCCTAAACAGTACTTGCTCTGCCCAACCTAACGGCACTCTCTTCTCTTCGAGTTCAAGCAATCGTTCCTCCTATGAAATACACGACGACACGTGATACGTTTCAGACACTGATATTTTATATCTTTAGTGTTCTCGTTTTAGGTAAGCCTTCTTCTTAGACTATAATGTGAGATGTCTTGGTATTCATTGGTTGAGCGAAGTTGAAAAGTAGTTTGTAATAAAACTTGAAGCGGGTTCGCTTTTGTTTAGTGGTTCCAAAGCTCATCGCCTTGTCATTGAGGCACGTCTTCAAACTCTCTACTATACGTTTTAGTGGGTGACCATGTTGTCGTTCAATGGATATTTTACTTTTTCTTATCTTCTTTTTCATTTTAGTGCAGAGCTGGATTCAATTAGCAGTGCTTAGGTTTTTCTTTTTCTCTATCATATATCCAATCCATGCACCCATCTTATAGCATGAAAAGTACCATTCGGACAGCCACAACCATATCACGCTCACTCATTTTTATCCTTTCCTAGAATTCTTTTCTCAAGGTCTCAATTTCAACATTTGATAAATGGAGAATCCTGATCTAGCAATGATCTAGATTTTTTTATTTTTTTGCGACAAATATATATATCAACATCAACTTTTAATATGCTTTCTTCTTAAGATGATAAAATCTGTAAACAAAAGTATATATCAACAATTGTATAGCAGATTATCTCTTAACAAATCGTATAAATAAAACTTAGGCAATGCAAAAATAGCATTTTGCTTACCATTTAATTGTGTTTAGACGACACAATTAGTCTAATTGAAAGCTCTACAATTATTATATGTATGACATACACCGAATGAACGAAAAGTTGAATATGCAACTCCATACTAGAAAATCTTGTACTGTACAGTTTACCCTTTTAAACAATTTACTTTCCCTTCCATGCTTGATGCTTGTACAGCCCCAGTAAGACAGATATTGTATCCACGTGCCCTCCTAAATTTCGTACTCACTACTGTCAATTCGTAGGACCATTTTGCCGGGCACTGTGGTGATGATAGACTCCCTCCAAATTTTAGCAGCCATTACTATGAGATAGGGGAACTGTAGGGTTATCTAGAGCCAACCCAAGTTATCATGATATGGGCCTCATAATCTGGGCCAACCCAATTGAAAGAGCATTGACCAATGAGAAAGAAATTCAAGAAAAGTAAAAATTCAAGAGATAAATTACACATAACTACCTTAATTATTGGGTCATTAACAGTTTCATATCTTGTCTTTAAAAAGTTTCAACGTCATACTGTATCTTCAAATTTGTTGCAATGTCATACCTTCCATCAGTTGTTTGTCAATTCCTCTGTTAAATGCTAATGTGGCTTGTGATGTGGCACACTTTCCATTAAAAAAACTAATAAAATATTATTAAAAACAAAAAAAAAAACCATTTAATATTTTTAAATATTAAAATAATAATTAATTAAAAAAAAGTTATTTATAAAAAAATTTAACAGATGAATTGACAGACAACTGACAGAATGTATGATATTGCAACAAATTTGAAGATACAGTATGACATTGACATTTTTTAAAAACGAGGTATGAAACTATTAATGACCCAATAATTAAGGTAGTTCTGTGTAATTTACCCAAATCCAAACATTTTTCTTTTCTTTTCTATAACAAGAAACTCTTATACGAACCACCAATTGCATGTGGACATGTTCCCTTCACCAAACCTAGACGGAAACTTGTTTCAAACGTTTCAAAAATATAAAATTCAAACCTCCAAGCAATAAATTTATAACTGATAGTTAAAGGGTAATGGTTGAAGTTTATGCACCAACTTGTACCATCACAATATACATATATTGTCATTAACACTACAATTTAATGATATTTTTATCTGCTTATAAATGATAGGTCTTAAAATTCATAAATAACGAATTCGATATTAAATTATTATTGATCTGTTGTGTGACTTAACCAATACGCACTAATAATTAACGTTATATACATCTTATCATTTCTTATAAAGTTTTTCTTTATATTATATTTATTGGAATAAATTGACTTAATATGAAAAACATGGTTGATCTACTTGATCTACTCGTTGATTTTCTCATTGACTATAAAAAGAAGAATAATTAATACATATAAATGTAATTTGAAGCGTACAAGTCAAACTTCTCTACAAATTGTTAGAAACTATAAACCCTAAACCGTATGGCACATGCAATCGCAAGGGACGTAGAACTAGAAGTCCAAGCACGTGCATGCAAGTGTGACTGTAAACCTCTCTATACGTACACACGTGATGGAACTCCCCCTCGTTGTTGCTTGCTTGCAATGGCTGAAAGATGTATGCTATGTTGCTTAAGCTATATGGCAGGATTAATTTGGATATTGTATGTCAGTTGCTTCAAATAGGGTTTCTGTTTGTAAGGTACTGAATGCAAGTTCATGGCTTATGTCATGTAACCTTTGGCCTGGCTATACGGCTTTTGTGATCTCAAACAAGTGCTCGATCGAGTAAGAGCATCAAGAGGTCGGTGAAATATTTCCACAGTACTGAAAATCGAGACTACTGTGTGGTTAAGCATCACATCGATTTAGGTCATGTTTGTGCAACATGAATTAGGTTTTGTAGAAACGAATCGACTCGAAAATGATAGCTTTAAATGTTATTAACCCAAGATTTCTGTAGTTCGAACCATTTTTTCAACAAAAAGATTGCGTGACAAGAAGTTGGGCAGTTGGCTTAATTTAGTTCGACAAGATGGAATAATTTAACCTAAACCAAACATTCTCAAAATGTAGATTGCTTACTGAAATGTAATAATATTCATTTCTTTTAGTAATACTTAAATTCTTTACATAAAAATA